ATGGAGAATGTGAGGAGGTGGTGGTCAGAGAGAGGGAAGGGGGTGTTAGTAAAGTCGTGGGGGGTGCAGAGGTGGGAGAAAACGACGTCCAGGGTGTTTCCGTTGGAGTGGGTGGAGGACTGAGTGTGCTGTGTGAGCGCCAAGGAGGAGGTTAGGAGGAGGAGTTGGGAAGTAGCCGGGCTGTTGGCGTTGATCGGGATATTGAAGTCGCCTAGGATGATGGTCGGTAGCTCGGAGGAGAGGAAGAAGGGAAGCCAGGCGGCTAAGTCGTCAAGGAAGGGGGATGCGGAACCAGGAGGCCGATAGATTACCGCAATCCATAGGGGGGTGGGAGAGAAGAGCCGGATGCAGTGGGCCTCGAAGGAGGAGAAGGATGGGGGGGGGGGGGTTAGGGAGGACCTGGAAGGTGCTCAGCGGTGGTAGGAGCATACCGACCCCTCTGCCTCTGCGTCCGCTCGGTCTGGTTGAATGGGTCCAGACGAGGCCTCCATAGGGAGGGCAGCAGGGGAAGTGGAGTCAGTGGCTTGGATCCAGGTTTCGGTAACCGCTAGGAGCTTGAGGGAGTGGGAGACAAAGAAGTCATGGATGGCGGTGAGCTTGTTGCAAACCGAACGGGCGTTCAGGAGTGCAACCGAGAGGGGAGGGGTGGATGTGGGGAGGAGGTGGACAGATATGAGATTGAGGGGGTTGCGGTGGTTGGCGTGAGTAGGGGGGTGCCGGGAGGGGGAGTGGGGAGATGGAGGGCCAGGGTTCGGGGAGATGTCACCACTACATGGTTTATATGTAGTATGAGTAATGTGAATATACCTCTTGGCCATCCAAACCTTAGATTCTCTGTTCTGTTTGCTGGTTTTTGCAAGGGTTGATTCTTGCAAGGGGTTCTTCAAGGGCTATCCTGTGTCTTGTTCCACCATTTCTAAATGGATTAGGCAGGTTACACCTAAGGTTTGCACCTTGAAGGATAGGAATCCATTCCCTGTTAAAGCTCACTTGACTCATTCAGTCAGTGCCTCTTGGGCTTTTCACCACCAGGTGTCTGTTCCCCAGATTTGCAAGGCCACTACCTAGTTTTCTATTGACACATTTCTGAAGTTTTACCAGGTGGATGTTCAGGCTGCAAGCTTTGGCCTTAAAGTGTCATTAAACCCCAAAACAATATGTGTGTCTATATCGTTAAAAGTGTATTTTAAACCAGTATGCAGAAGCTTGTAACAAATGGTTTTCCCTATTAGTAAATACCTGGTTGATCCTGCCGTTTCCACAGGCTCCCCAAGGCTTGATTCATATCTACGCAGTTTCTCAGTGGCCACATTTGCTCGAGTACTGAAAATGCAGGGGTAAAAGGTCTCTGCACCTTTTCAGAAAATGCAGCTGCAGAAAAATCTCATGTGCAGTGTGGTTCATAGTGCAGAAAACTTTGCTGTGGTTTTTAGTGCATGGGGGTGCCTTTAGGGATAATGGTACCCTCACACATCTCATACACTGTATCATGATTTGTCTACAGATGCATGTGATTGCATGCCATCCTGAAGCGCACACTAATGTGAACCTAGCTTTGCTGTGTTTGGGCAACGATATAACAGCCAGTCCTCTGTGTGCTAGGTTGCCACACTCACTGCTCATGCCCAGCTAGCTCACCTGTAAAGGGTTTTCACTTCTTCCTTTCTGGATGCCTCCCCATGTGATTCTTTCTACTGGCTGCTGGGCAGCTCTAGTAGGTTGAATGGCAGGTGTCTGCTCATATCCCCTCTGTCCCTATCCTTTCTCAGCCAATTTAACCCTTCCTGCAGCCAGCTCCTATCATGCAGGCCTTTCTTCCAGCAGCCTGCTCTTCCATTATCTGCCTATGTATTGGTTGCTGGACAACAAGCCTGGTTCTGGCAGGACTACCACCTCCTCTCTTAGATGACAGGGACAGGTAATATAGCAGCAATGGCTGCAGGAAGAGAAGGAAGGGGGGGGGGGTGAAAACAACTGTGTTATGAGCTGAGAAGGGACACAGATGATTTAGGAGCCTGTGTCAGTCTCTTTACAATGGTATCTGTTTTTCTGTCGCCCGCTTTCCCTTCTTACAGACAAATTTCTACCATGTATGGGCACTTTGCTTTTTTACCTGTTTTTCCTGAACTCAATCAGCACCCAGGCTATAGCATGCAACAACATTCAGTGTATTCTTATGGCAGGGAAGTCTCCTCTGTTAGAATACAAATTCTTAGCAGGGAGGTTTCCCCTATCCCCCTATAGTGTCATTATTGTTTGCTAAAATGTCTGCTTGCTCATCCCCCTCATTTCACAGAACAAGTACACTGCACCATGTGATCATATATAGCAGCAAAAAAGGGTATTTATCATTATTTTAATGTGAGCTATACACTATTGCTTCCATTGTTAGATGTGCTGCTTATTACTCTGAACCTATTTAAATGGGTTTCAAACTGATGTTCGGATTCCCTTGTTTTGGGTTAATGATCTCCCTTATTTGGCCGAAAGATTTTGTCATTGTTTGCTTTGTTGTCCTAAGTTGTATTGCTGGGGGATGTCCCATGGTCAAGGCTTAAAATGGTATTAAACCCAATAGCAAACCTTTATTATATTGCAGCTTACCGTTTCTTAGTTATGATGGCTGCATTCATTTTTTTTTTGGCTTTCTTTCTTGTATTTTCACCTGATGAGCTGGCCAGTAAGTCTGTTTTTTAATAGAACAAACCCTCTTGCAAATGTATCAGAGGTTTGAGACAAACCATTTACTACTGACAGGGGTGCTTACAATGATCAGCTTTTATTTATCCATGTAAAACCTTTATCCCAAAAGAAAACCTCTTGCTGTAACTGCTTGTGTAACCGCAGTGTGATTTGGATTTCAATTAGTTATTGTGCCCTACATCTTGAACACTCTTCTTCCTGAGGTTAACAGTGCTACTGTCCAAAGGTGCCTCTGTGCTCCTCCATCCAGAAATACAGGTGGTGTGTTACTGGGTAGATCATCAGCTGAAAACAGATGGGAAAAATCCAAAAAAAGAAAACCAGTGCAGCCACCACATCTACTGACTGGTAAATATTACATTTTTGGTTTTGGGTGTAATACATCTTTAATAGAGCCTGTGTCCTGTTCTGTGCCATGAAGAAATAAACAGTTTTGACTTGCCTGTAAAATCCTCTTCTTGGAGTACAGTACAGGACACTCTCCCCTCTGTTCTGGTGGTTTCTCTGATTGCTTGCTATAAAGTGGGCGGGGTTATATGGGTAAACTGAGCACCTTTGCCATTGTCCTCACCTGAAGGTGGCAGCAATATAACCCTTGGTCAGGACATAAAGCAGTATTTAAGCCAAAAACAAAAATGTAATATATTCAAGCTTACCATTCCTTAAATGTAGTGGCTGCGTCAGTTTTCTTTTAGTTTTTTTTACTGGGTGGTCCAGCCAGTAACACAATTCCTATCTTAGGGTGTGTGCATTCTGAATGAAGTAGTAAAGCAAGACACCTTTGGAAAGCAGCATTTTCAGTCTGGGGGACGGTTAGTAGACTAACAGATTTAGATGGACTTGACAAAAAATTGAAGCTGAACTCCAGCTAATACTTTATAACCATTCAAAACAACCGTTGTAGATCAGCAGGTGAAAAACCGGGTGGATCACTGGGTCACTAGGTGAAAATAAATGGAAAAAGCCTAAAAAAGAAAAACAATACAGCAAGCACATCTAAGATTTGGTAAGCTGCAATTTAGTAAACTCTTGTTTTTGGGTTTAATACCATTTGAACCATTTTTGGACTGCCTGCCCATATCGTGCTATGGATGGACTGCTCCTACAGGCACAAAGATGTACCTGTACATCGCTGCCTTCTTCTGGGTTCAGGGTGCATGTGCCACTCCCCCCTGCCCAGGCCTTCCAGCCTGTGTCTTGTACTATACCCTAAAAAAACTATCTAAAGGTATATAAATACTATATCTGCTGCTTACATAGATCATCAGTTTTTTATGGACATGCAGTGTGCATTATTCTCATTTATGGGGGTCTCCGTGGATGGCGTGCCAGAGTGTATTGAATTTACTTTATCTGCCCCTCCCATGAAAAAGACGTTCTCAATTCCCAGTGCAGCCAACATTTCATGCAGACATAGAGCCGCAGCCTGTTTTAGGCCGGTGAGCGCACTGTAAAGTGCTGATGTGGGCAATATTCACAGTTTGCTAATAAGGTCTCTCCAGCTGCAGCGGGAATAAAAGAGAATTTGATATGTGCCAGAGAATGTCTTTACGTTTGAGCTCTGCTAGGAGCTGACCCAACAGTCCACCTGGGAAACGGTTTCCTCTGCTTGTTCCTTGCGCTGTAATTGAGTGCAGATTGTAGCAGTGTGGGGGCAGCTTTCTAAATATGCTTAACGTGGGTGCATTTGGTTTTATTTATAACAAAATAGATATAGAATGTAGTGTATGTCACAGTTCTAAACATACTGTTCAGTCAGACATGCAAATGTACCTTTTAAAGGCAGTCTTCATCTTTTTTTGCTTTGGCTACATGTATGAACCCAGTCATCTTAATATACATTATATTACCAATGTGTTAATTTTCTAATATATTTGTATTTCTTGTTTGTAAGTATATATTTACCATAGAGCCAGCCCATTGTACCACTCACTGCCCTGCCTCCTGCCTGTTTGGTCTAATGGTGGACCTCACTTGAAATGGTGATACCCACTTTAAGCACTCTCTTCCTCTCACAGGCCCGCCTCTACAGGACAGCCACACATCTTTATGAACAACTGGCCATAGGGTTAGATTTCTGTTGATGAAATATTGGCTGAGCTGAAAAATTATAATTTTTTTTTAATATAAAAGAAATTTGATATTGAAGTAAAGGGTGATATTTTTTTTTTTCCTTGAAGTTGCTCTTTAAGCTGTAAATGATGAGATCACATTGCCAATAGTAGCCACAGATACGTGTGCAGAAAGAGAGCTTTAGGAATTTTTTTAGCCATAATTACCAAAGTATTGTATTTTAGTTGATGGCATTGACCCCAACTACAAGATGGAGCAGCACGGGAAGAGAACACCATTGCACGCTGCTGCGGAGATGGGTCATACAGATATCTGCCACATGCTTGTTCAGGTGAATGTTACATTTATTTCTTTTGAAAATACAGCAAAGTTATGCTTTTTGCAAAAAAAATTGTGGATTCTTGTGTCTTTACTGTTCTGTGCTCTTGTGTGTTCTTTTGCCAGGGCTAGTTGCTAGGTAAATGAGCAATCAGTGAGAGGCCTGTTGGTATTATTTTGTACAAAGCTAGTTAAATAGAGCAGGCTATTTATGTTTTCTTATTCAAAGTATACTAACTTAAAAACTATTATAAGATAAAATGAGTTCTTTCCACACGGCACTGCCTTGGACATTTCATTGGTTTGTGCTGTTTGTCCAGAAAGCAACCTTGTCATAATCTCTTTTATGGGTTTTAGTTCGTAAGTACATTTTATCCCTGTCTACCCCAGGCTGGTGCTAACTTGGATAATTGCTCTGAGGATCAGAGGACACCCCTGATGGATTCAGCTGAGAACAGTCATTTGGAAACCGTTAGGTATCTGGTCAGAGCTGGAGCTTTGCTTGATCCCAAAGTAAGTTGATCGTCTTTAGTGATTTGGTCTGAATTCATTTTGCCCCCTGAAAAAAACAATTTTCAATTCTTTCTCTGTTTCCAGGACTCTGAAGGTTCCACATGTTTGCATTTGGCTTCCAAAAAGGGCCATTATGATGTAGTGAAATATCTGCTGAGCAATGAGCACATGGATGTCAACTGCCAGGTAAGACTGTGGAGGATTGGACACTTGCATACCAACTGTAGGCCAACCCCCAGGATAAACCCTTTCTACTACCAGCATGCCTTGGTTTTTTTGCTAGTGTCCTCTAAGAGGAAAAATTTTTTTTTTCAGCTGTGCTGTGTAAAAAAAACAAATCTTCACTAGCACCATTTTGTTTCTTAATTTTTTTATCTTCTCTATTTTGCTACTAAAGCTGGGCACATCTTGGACCTCGTTGTAAACATAAAAAACTAAAATGATGTGGTTGAATAAGTGTGCATATTGTCTTATAACTGGGGATGTAGCTGTGTTCAGAATTAAGAAATCACATTCAAAATCATGTTAAATGGGAATCAGTACACACCTGCCATCGTTTAAAGTGCCTCTGATTAACCCCAAATAAAGTTCAGCTGTTCTAGTAGGTCTTTCCTGACATTTTTAGTCACACCCTACAGCAAAAGCCATTGTCCCCAGAGAGCTTCCAAAGCATCAGAGCGATCTCGTTGTTAAAATGTATCAGTCAGGAGAAGGGTACAAAAGAATTTCAAAGGCATTAGATATACCAAAGAACGCAGTGAAGACAGTCTTCATCAACTGGAGAAATTATGACCCAACAGTGGCATTACCAAGAACTGGACGTCCCTCAAAAATTGATGAAAAGACAAGAAGAAAACTGGTCTGGGAGGCTGCCAAAAGGAGCTGCAGGAATATCTGACAAGTACACGCTGTGTGGTACTTGTGACCATATTCTCCCATATTCTTCATATATCTGGGCTATGGGGAAGAGAGGCAAGACAGAAGCCTTTTCTTACAAAGAAAACCATGCAAGCCTGGCTAAATTTTGTAAAAACACATTTGAAGTCTCCCAAAAGCATGTGGGAAAATGTGTTCTGGTCTGATGAAACCAAGGTTGTACTTTTTGGCCATAATTCCAAAAGATATGTTTGGCGCAAAAAACAACACTGCGCATCACCAAAAGAACACCATACCCACAGTGAAGCATGGTGGTGGCAGCATAATTTTTGTGGCTGTTTTTCTTCAACTTGAACTGGGGCCTTAGGGAAATATGAAACCGTTCCAAATACCAGTCAATATTGGCACAAAACCTTCAGGCTTCTGCTAGAAAGCTGAACATGAAGAGGAACATCATATTTCAGCATGACAATGACCCAAAGCATACATCCAAATCAACAAAGGAATGGCTTCACCAGAAGATTAAAGTTTTGGAATGACCCAGCCAGAGTCCAGGCTGAAAATCTGTGGGGTCATCTGAAGAGGGCTGTGCACAGGAGATGGCCTCGCAATCTGACAGGTTTGGAGTGTTTTTGCAAGTAAAAGTGGGCAAATATTGCCAAGTCAGGATGTGCCATGCTGATAGACTCAGACTCAAAAAGACTGAGTGCTGTAATCAAATCAAAAGGTGCTTCAACAAAGTATTAGTTTAAGGGTGTGCACACTTATGCAACCATAGTATTTTAGTTTATTTTTACTTCCCTCATCCTAAAAGATTTCAGTTTTTGTTCGACTGAGTTGTACAGTTTATAGGTTACATTAAAGGTGGAAAACGTTTTGAAATGATTTATCTCTGTCTCATTATTTTACATCACAGAAACCTGACATTTTAACAGGGGTGTGTAGACTTTTTATATCCACTGTATCTAGCAGGACTATAAACTGCCTGGGTTTTGGAGTGCCATGTTCTGACCCTGCTGTACTGGACATAGTGGGGATAGCTAGTAAGTGACCTTTGGACATTGGGGTCCCTATAGTGCACCTACTGAACTCTGTTTTGTTAACAAGTTAGCAGCTGAGTGCTTTCCAGGTCAAGAGCTGCCAGCATTGCCTCAGCTGTTTTAGTCACCTCTGGCCATCCAACCCTCATCTGCTGAGAATTTATGGCTTAAATCACCCAGTTAATTGCCGACTCTGAGAGAGGCCACAAGCGTGCTCCTGCACCATTTCAGTGCAGATTCTGTATCTGATCTGCCCGTGGCACTAGCTGCTTCTGAGCCATCAGTCGCAGAGACTCTGATTCTGAGCTGCTCCAGGCTTTGCCAGGTGAGCTTATCCTGAAGGAGTTGCAGTATTCTGCTATTACTTCCATATTAAAAGAGACCTTTTTTAGGCTCCAATCGTTGCAGTGCTTACTACTCTGAAACTAGAGGATCAGATTGTTGCTTCTACCAGTTTTAGTTCCAACCTTGGGTCTTTTGGAGCCATCTGTTGCAATTGCTGTTATAACATCGTAGAGAAAGATTGTAAAAACTCTGACAAGCTGTTATTTCCCCCAGATGCCTTGAAAATGTTAGGATAATATTTTGTACAAAAGTAGGCTATCTTCAATGTGGTATTCAGCAGTGTCCCAACAAAGTGACTAGCATTCATGTAGAGGATGCTCCTGTCTTTAAAGACCTAATCGATACACAGTCCATTCTAGAACGCTGCTCTCGCTGTGACTTTATTTTGCCAGACCATGGCTGACTGGCACCCTTAAAACGGATCTTACCACTGCTGCATTTGGCATCCCTAAAAGGCAGCTTACCATTGCTGTGGTTCATCCATCTCTTATAAGAATGCTTGAAGCAAATGGTTTTAGCTTTAAACTTTAGTTGTGACCGTTTTCAGGATGCTTCCTATATCATCTCCCTTAAGAATCTCATGTCAGCCCATGAGTAAACCACTTTGGCTGAAGTGTTGGACTGTGGAACCATGTGCAAGATGTGTCCTGGGTCACATGGCATTCAAGGAATGTCTCTTCAGATCTACTCTTGATACCATTTCAAGGGTGCTATTGGTGAAAAGAGCACCTGCCTTTCTAAATGAACAAAGCCTAAGACAGCTGGCAAAGTCTTCTTCCCCCTTGTCTGTTAGAAAAAGTTCCTTTTTGTTTCTCCCATCTTGCGTCCCCTGCTTCAAGGCTCCCCAAGCTTGGCTCCCAGTCCACCTGGAAGATCTGCGTCTCAGTTTGGCAAATCCATCCGACAAGCTTTATTTTGTATGAAGGTGTACCGCAACTTTCCAGACTTTGGAGGGGGGGGATGTACACTTTTTAACCTTTGTGAACACTTGGGCAAATACAGCTGAAGGGGGTGATATGCCAGGGCTACAAACTGCACATACTGGAGTTTTGGTCTCTGATCCCTCCTGTTTCTCACCTCCAACCGTCTCTGCACAAATTAGCATCTCCAGCAACTAGGGGGGCATTTGGCACATCTCTTCATGGTCTTCATTCAGGCTAAAAAAAAATTAGCAATACCCTCCAAGTCAGTCATTGCCTCCCTTCACCAGGGAGACTTTGTCTTCTGTGGACATCAAGGAAGCATACCTGCATTTCTTTATCTTCTTTGGTTTCCTACATTTTGCTGTGGGGCACCACCTACATTACCAGGTTGTGGCCCTGCCCTCCAGCCTGCCATCTCCATCTTAGGTTTTCAACAAGGTGCTGACTTCAGTAATAGCACTGCTGGTGTCCTTGTTGCTGTGGAATACTTAGATGAGCTCTTGTTGAGAGAACAGTTTTTTGCAGGCTTTTCTGGACAATGTGGCTTTGTACAAAGCATTAAAAGCAGCTCAGATGGATCCTAAACATTTAGAAATCAGTGCTGGAACTGACTCATTGTTTGGAGTATATGGGTCAAGTTCTTCATACAGCTCAGGACAGGGTCTTTTTCCACAGGGGAAACATCAGACAGTCCTTTCTGGGATTCAAGCTCTACAGTCCAGGATTCGTTCATTTTTCTGCTTTTGCTTGAAAGTCTTTGACTTGATGGTAGCCTCCTTTTTAGACTATTTTCTCCATTTCACTCCAGACATCCACAACACTACATCCTGTTGTTAAAGGAAAGGTCAGGCAAGTCCCTGGACAGATTGATTTGTTTGGCATGAAGAATCGGGTTGTTCTTGGCTTACTGGCTCAGGGAATTTATTTATTTCCATCTTATGGCAAAAAATGCAAGTGTGTTGTCGAGTCCTTTGCACCTTGTCGCTGCAGCTAATTTGGTCAGCGGAAGGGTCCCGTCTCCCGATTAACATCCTAGAGCTTCATGTGATTTGGTTGTCTCTGCAGCATTGGGCCATCCAGCTGGTGGGTAAATTGACATGGATTCAGTAGTTCAATGCTATGCCAGTGAAATACATCAATCTTCAGGGAAGGAACAAAAGTCTTATTGCAGCAAGAGAGATATCTGTACATCGCTCACCTCTGGGATATAAAAAAATTTTTTATTGTTCCAGCACAGACTTTGATGCACCACCCTAATCTGTGAACCCGTTACACCTCCTAGTGGAACTTAATCCAAGAGATCTATACACAACAGAGTGAGGAGGATTGGAGTGTCAGTGTGTGCTAGAAGTGGAGTGACATTTAACCGCTTCCTGACTGCCCTATAGCAGAACTACTGCTACAGGGCGGCAAGGCTGCGCAAAATCACGTATATATACTTGATTTTGTAATACCAGGTAGGGGGCCTGCGTGTCCTACCCATGCTGCCATTGGCGGGTTCAGCTGTCGATGTCCGGGCCAGTGATTCCCCGCCGGCACCTGGTGATCGCTGAGGAACACTGACGGGGGAGAGGTCTGTATATGAACAATACAGATCTCTCCACTGTCGGCTCCAGAAAAGCCATACAAAGCAGTGTGCTTACATAGTAAAGCAAAAGTACACAGTTAACCCTTTGATCGCCTCTGATGTTAAACCCTTCCTGCCCAGTGTCATTAGTACAGTGTCAGTGTTTTTTATGAGCACTGCTCACTGTATTAGTGTCACTGGGGATGTCAGTGACAGTCAGTTTCCCCCCCCCCCCCCCCCCCCCAGTGTTAGAATGCCTGCCGCCGTCCCGCTATAAGTTGCTGATCGACACCATTACTAGTATAAAAAAATAAAAAAATCCAGTATATATACCGCCATTTGTAGACACTATAACTTTCACGCAAACCAATTAATTTACACGTACTGGGATTTTTGTTTAGCAAAAACATGTAGCAGAATAAATTTTGGCCTAAATTTATGACGAAATATGATTTTTTTTTACTGGACATGTATAATAGCAAAAAGTAAAAAATATTTTTTTTTTCCCTCAAAATTGGTTTTTTTTTTGTTTATAGTGCAAAAAATAAAAATGCGCAGGCGATAAAATACCACCAAAAGAAAGCTCCATTTGTGGGGAAAAAAAAAGGCCAAAATTCATTTGGGAGCAGAGTTGCATGACCATGCAATTGTCAGTTAAGGTAATGCAGCACTGTATCGCAAAAAATGGCCTGGTCGGGAATGGGTGTAAATCCTCTGGAGGGCAAGTGGTTAGAATAGATTTTAGCCCAAAGGAAAGTTGAGTGTGGCTTTGTATGCATTTTGTGAGGAATTTATTTGAGGAGTGATGGATCCTGGAGTGTGGCAGCAGATCTGGTGTTGAAACTACAGTAAGACAGATAGATTGCATCCTCTCCTAGGCAGGGTTTCATGTTCCAGCCTTATTTGCATACATCCCAGGAGTAGAAATTTGGTAGGCAGACTTGCCTAGCTGCAATGTCTGGACTCAGGGAAGTGGCCCCACACTAAGTGGTGTTGTAGGTGGGATATGCCAGTTGTTGTCTTCCTGGTCTTCAGGTTCAGCAACAAACTGAACAGGTTTATTCCCACATGCAGGGATCCTCTAACAACAGCAGATTTAATTTTCTGGACTGGCTCAGGCAGATGTGGTCTGCCAGCCTGCTAAGACTTCTGACCGATGATATTTAGGTATTACCAGATCTTCTGTCCCAAGGACCAATTTACCATCTTGTTACATAGTTAGTCTGGCTGGAAAAAGACAAAAGTCCATCCAGTTCAACCATTAAAAAAAAAAAGTTATAATCCTATACCTACAGTTGATCCAGAGGAAGGCAAAAAAAAAAACCCAGCAAAGCATGATCTAGTTTGCTCCTGCAGGGAAAAAAAATTCCTTCCTGATCCCCCGAGAGGCAATCGGATATTCCCTGGATCAACTTTACCTATAAATATTAGTATCCAGTTATATTCTGTGTATCTAGGAAAGAATCCAGGCCTTTTTTAAAGCAATCCACTGAGCTGGCCAGAACCAAGTCTTGAGGGAGTCTATTCCACAGCTCTTACTGTGAAGAAACCTTTCCGTGTTTGGAGATTAAATTTATTTTCCTCCAAATGTAAAGAGTGCCCCCTTGTCCTCTGTGATGACCTCAGGGTGAATAGCTCTACACCGAGTTCACTATATGAACCACTGATGTATTTATACATGTTGATCATATCCCCCCTTAAACTCCTCTTCTCAAGAGAGAATAAATTCAGTTCCTCTAATCTTTCCTCATAGCTGAGCTCCTCCGTGCCTCTTATCAGTTTGGTTGCCCTTCTCTGTACTTTCTCCAGTTCCCCAATGTTTTTTTGTGAATTGGTGCCCAAAACTGAACTGCATATTCCAGATGAGTTATTACTTATGATTTGTACAGGGGTAATATGATATCTCTTTTTGGAGTCTATACCTCTTTTAATACAAGAGAGGATTTTGCTCGCTTTAGAAACTGCAGCTTGGCATTGCATGCCATTATTAAGCTTGTGATCTACCAAAACCAGATCCTTCTCCGCCATTGATTCCCCCAATTGTACCCCCCCTAGTATGTATGATGCATACATATTTTTAGCCCCAAGTGCATAACCTTACATTTATCAACATTAAACCTCATTTGTCACATAGTTGCCCAAGTAAACGGTGCATTGAGGTCGGCTTGTAAGATGAAGACATCCTGTATGGACGTTATTCCACTGCATAGCTTGGTGTCATCTGTAAAGACTGAAATGGGATTTTTAGTACCAGACCCTATATCGTTTATAAATATATTAAAAAATAAGGGTCCCATCACTGAATCTGTTTTCATGAGCAGTAGCCACGGTCATTGGCTTTAATGAAATCGCTGCTGAAGCCCAGGGTTTGAAAGACTGGGGCATCTCTGAATCATTGATTTCCACAATGTTAAAAGCTTGGAAATCTACTTCACGCGAGGTCCATAATTGGAAATGGAACACATATTTCACTGTCTCGGGACTTCTGCCATAGATGTTTCTCCAAGGACGAAAATCCTCTTTCCTAAAGCTGGGCTTGGACCAGCGTTTGCCTCTCTGCAATATCAAGGTCAGATTTCTGCCCTTTCAATCTTTTATCAAAAACCGTTGACTTCTCACTCTCGATAATTTTTTACAAGGAGTCTCCCATGTAGCTGTACCTGTTCATATCCCTGTGACTCCATGATATCTTAATCTGGTTTTCTCTGCTCTTCAGAAACCACTGTTTGAACTCATTAGAGACATTTCACTTACTACTTTCACCCACACGGTGATATTCCTCGTAGCTTTAAACTCTGTGTGGCAAGTGTCTGAGCTGGCAGCCTTATTCTGCAATGAACCGTTTACATCCACAGGGACATTGTTCTTTGATTCCTCTGTCCAGCTCCAGTACACCAAAAGTAAATTTTCCTCTATTGTCTGAACGCCGCTGCTTCCTTCAGACATATGGACAATCTTTTTGTCTTTGCAGACTGTCACCATAAGCGAGCACCAGCTCCTCAGTCTACTATTCTCTAGGTGACAGATCACCATTCATTTCTTGGTCTTAAGGATTGGGTTTCCCCCTTTCTTGTCAAGGTGCACTCTAATAGAGCTTTAAGTGCTTTTTGGGCTTTTCGTCATGGGTTCTACCCTTTCTTGTCAGGTTGCACTCTAGTAGTTTGGAGTGCTTATTGGGCTTTTCGGCATCAAGCAGCTATTTTCCACATTTGCAAGGCTTCCACTTGGTCTTCTTTTTACATATTCTCCAAGTTCTAACAGGTGGATGTTGCAGCTCGGGAGCTTGGGCTCCAAGCAAAGGATTTTCTGGTGAGTACAAAATTCCTATTTTCCAGGTCTTGTGGAGCAGTTCATTTTTTACCCTTCAAATGATTCCTGCCAAGACATTAAAATCACACCCTAGTGTCACAATTACCCTTTCACCCACTTTCTTCTTTATTTGCATATTGTAGGTGTTCTTGATAATTTTCAGTTCAACCTTGTCACTGATAAATTTTTGCTTGTTCATTTTTGTGGTCCAGATTAATAGGGTTTCTACCCATACTTGTTTAAAAAGAACATTGATGGCTGCTGTTCTGATCACACAATGGTACGTCACATTGACTGTGCCTTTGTTTCTCTTGTAGGATGATGGTGGTTGGACACCGATGATTTGGGCCACAGAATACAAACACTTGGAACTCGTTAAGCTGTTACTATCCTGCGGAGCTGACATCAATATCCGGGACAATGTAAGTGCTACATCTTTTTAGGATTGGGCCTAAAAACTTCACTGGAAGCTCACACTTGTGTAATACGCTTTGTGGATACTTGTTCTTTTGTACCATGTTCTTTTGTACCATGTGGCACAAACAGTTCGGGTCTCCAACCACTAACATCTTCAGAGTCCTCCATGCAGAGTCCAGCAGCCTATATCTTTAAAGAGAGACAGTCATGTTTGCAGTGCAAAATAATGTCACTACACGGGCCTATAGTTAAGAATGTAAACAACTGAATGTTGTATTACTTGACTTTGTTCTGGAAGACAGTGTGTGAGGTCTGGCAGTTGGTACTCCTAAAGTCTTACAGCAAGTGATCTCTGACTCAAAAGTATGTAAATCTCTCTTTAATAGTGAGACTAAGGGCTTGTTCACATGTGCGCCAATACCCTGTGTTCATGTGGCATGTATTCAGCATTTTTAAAGCATCATAACTACCCTTCAATGCATGCCATGAATAATACTATGGTACCACACAGTGCTGTTCACACATGTGCTGTAGAGTTGTATTGTGTTGCGTCGTGTTAAAAATTAAGCAGCATGTCGCTTTCATGAGATATCAGCGCTTGTCAGCTGCCTTCGTTGATTTCAATGGTAATGCTCTATAACCGCATCTTAACAACACATATAGCATTTATGGTGTGTTAATGAAGCGTTTATAAAGTCTCAACTTCACAACTCTTAAAAAAAAAATAAAATAAACAAAGTCTGAACTGGTGGAGAGACAGTGGAGGTTGTATCCTTTGTCCCACAATGCACTGGGAAATAATAGAGAACTAGATCAGAGCAGCTCCAGCCACAGTGCAGCTGTGTGGTAACACCATATTTTTCTGTGTGCAGACAAAAGCATCAACCAGCCAGCAATGCTGATAGTGCCCAGCAGGAGCAGAGGCATTGGGCATTATTGCCAGTGGCAAAGCTTTTTGTGACAGCAACGTTGAGCGGGACCAAGCCAAGTGTCAAAGAGCAAAGTATACAATTCCATCTCGCAGAGAATTCACAAAAATATCTGCTCACACCACAACCCAACCACACCTCAAAGTAGACCATTTCTTATACATCACTTCCCCTTTAAGCACTTCCCAATAGAAAAGCAAGACTTTAATGGGAATTTATCAAGCATTCTTAAAGCTGCTTTAGTGCTTCATAAACACAACAAACAAAACGTCATAAACACATCATAAATGCTATAGGTGCGGTAATGAGCATTGCTTTGTTTTTAATAATTGGCACTCATGTAAACAAGCCCTAAAGATTTATTGTTATGCAAATGTCAAGTCACGATTAGATCTTTTTGAACGTAAAGCTGATTTTGCTGAGGGTAAATGTAATCATAAGTTCTCTCCAAATCTTTTTTTTTTTCTTTTACTTTGCCATAGTTTATTCAAAAGTTGCAAATTACGAAATGATGTGTAAACAAACCTGTCATAATTGTTAAAAAAAAAAACAAACCTGTCATAGAAAGAAAATACCTGGCATACCCGAATCATGAAGTGCTAGCCCCACAATATATGAATCTTTACTTGTAAAATTTTATTTACTATAGACTGGAAGCCCCCATACTTGGTAAACAACAACTCCAAATTGAGGTTTCATTAAAAAAGACTAAAATGTTTTGTGCTGATGTTTCCTGTTTATATTCTTCATTCTTAGGAGGAAAACATATGTCTGCACTGGGCAGCTTTCGCCGGATCAGTTGAAATTGCTGAGATCCTTCTGGACTCAAAATGTGACCTTAGAGCTGTCAACATTCATGGCGACTCCCCACTTCACATTGCTGCCCGGGGAGAACAGATACGAATGTGTTACGTAAGCAAAAAGCATTTACATCATGCAGTGAGATGCACTGTTAGATTGTGTTTCGCCCTTCTGGAAATAGATTTTACCACGTTCAAACTCTCCACTTTATATTTACCTCCAGTTATGTAGTGTGAAGGGTCTACCCAAATAGATTTAATTTGAACTAATTATGTAGGTAGGAAAATTCCAAGGCCCTACCTTACCTGTAGCCCAAGTATTTAAACCAAAAACAAAAATGTAATATATTGCAGCTGATCAGTTCTTAGATGAGGTGGGTGCATTATTTTTTTCCCTTTTGTTTAACTTTGTAATCTTGTAAATAACACACTTCTGTCTCTGGGTACCATAGTGCCCAAAATCCATACCAGACCCTTATCCATGCATGCTAAGTTTATTTTTTTCATTCTCCAAAAACTTTTGGCAAAAAAATAAAATCTTCCATGGACTCAACATGCCTCCCAGCAAATACCTTGGGTTGTCTACTTTCCATAAAGAAGTCATCTGGGGGGTGTTTGGACTGCCCTGGCATTTTAGGACCTCTAAAAACATTACACATATGTGCAGCACTAGGAGTTTCTGCCACACTCCTAATGTTGGACATACATGTAATTTGCGTCCAGCCTGTGGCCTGAACGAAAAAAAGAACCTAACAGATTTCCTCATACACATCAATCGATGTGGATGAAGAAATCTCTGCCAGAAAAAAAAGTAATGTATGCTGAACTTAGGAGCTACTGCCCACTGACCATCCCACACTCGTAATGCTGGACATACAAGTTCTTTCTCTTTTTTTTAAACACTGGATGGAGAAATTTCCTTCTACAGAGCTGCAGGCACTGATGTATGTATTCTGAGAATAGTTATTTACTATATCTTTTTAATGAATTGACTTTTAGACAGGTTGTTTGGTATTTACTGAGCATTTTTTTGCGGTAAATACTGCATATACCTGTAGTGAATTGAGATTTGCCATATCGCATGCAATGTTTGGGTTAAATGTGTTCCTTGAACCAAAGATCAAATGTGATATTATTTAGTGATTTGAGCCCAAGTTTCCCAGGGTGGAATGACCATAAATTAGTAGAATTTCCTAGTTGGGTCAAATCGACATTCAATTTCGGCAAACTAACAATAAAATTCGAAGAAGCAGGATGTAATTTTTTTTTTCTTCCATGAACAAATTTCTAAGCATGTATGTGGCTTTAAACCGGGAAATTACATTCTTTCTTACATTCTTTCCAAAATCAAAAGTCGAATGTCCTGAAAAGGTTTGTTTGTTCTGAAACATTTGTATGAAAAAATCTACTTGTGTATGGCCAGCTTAACTCTGTTTATCTCCTTTTACATGGGAAGAGGGATTAGTAGTTTACAGAATTAAGAGAGCATTGTTTAATGCTTCCAGGACAAGGACACTGCATTTCTGGCAAGATCAACAGGTATTTCCTGTACTTGCAGAAAATGTTCTTTGCTTGCACAAAAAAAATAAAGCAAATGCAACTTACCACGTATATGGACTGGTAAGCTGCAGTATATTAGATGTTCCTTTTGAGTTTAGTTACCCTTTAATTGATAACTCACATAGGCATTTGTTTCTTGCTACCGACATTTTCTTAATTTTTCTTCAAGAGCATTGTATGCATCCTTATTAGAGAATGCCTGGTTTGTCAGAAATGGATGCCCCACCAAATTTTAGAAAAATATGGGGCAATTGGCTAGACACCCCGGGACTGACCCCTTGCAACTCAATAGAGCTAGACCTTTAGGTTGACCTCCACATACCTGATTGATGGATAATAATTACCCTTACCTTTATTACCCTGACGCATAAATAAAAGACACATATACTGTATCAGGTATACTAAACGTAGAATTTATTAAGACCAATGGTTGACACACAAAGTAGTATATTGGTTCCTTTTAGATGGTAGTGTGTCCGACTCCATGATATATAGAGACATTTATTACTCGACATACTGTAGACAAAATAAGCTCGCTCCCAGAGACACAGCACCGTTCTCCATTAATTATGCACATGTCTCTAACTACTAAACTGATAAGACATTCCTTCTTCCTGTTAAATGATATAGCCTTTTGACAGGTTTTTGAGTTATATCTGCCTCTCCTCACACTTACGTATATTAGAGATGTCTCTTATGCATTTTATTACTGCATTCTGGGATGAATGGATTCAAGGAGACAACCTTGCTACGTTCTGTTTTCTACTTTGGTTTACGCTTGGTCCATACTGCCACAATTGTGATCCGACTTGTGAGACCCCAAGTCGCATGACATGTGAAATCCCATGTTAGTCAATGAGAGCTGTTTTAATTAGCACTACTGAAGTTAGAAAAGGTTCCTGTACTACTTCAAGGTGACTTCTATCTGACTTTATGCCCATAGACTTTAATGGAAGTCGCCTCCAAGTCGTATCTATATTGATGTGATTTGGATCTGACATTACAGGAAGATTACACAGGCATTCCCTCAAAGTTACTTTAGAGTAGTACACAAGTCGCCTGGCAAAGTTGCACTGTAAGTCAGCGCGACTTTCAGGTCACAATAGTGGGCACCAAGACTTATTTTTTGTATTTTGTTTTTTCTGTTTTGTATTTTGGCCTATGTCTTCGAGGCCTACCTGTAAACGTAAAAACAAAAACTGTTAATAAAGAATGTCTGATTTAAAAAACAAAAACAAAACAGTGTGTACTCAACAGACCTAAACCTGATCTGGGGTTTTATATAAGTACGTTAATGTGTATGCCAAACCAAAAACATTTTCTAGTTTTGAATAGAGTGGAAAAGGATTAGAACTGCTGTCTGGTTTTTACTTCTCTCTGGTATTCTGGTAAAAATATACATCCTAACTTCCTCACAGGCAGTGAGGGAAAATCTGTGACAGGAACATAAGCCAGAACAAAAAGCAGGCAGGAACCTGCAGCCTTACCCTACTTTACTAAAGAAAAGCATTTTAATGTCTCTTTTGATGTTGGAGAGTTTACCTCACTTCCTATATGGTAAAATGACATCAGCAGGGCAGGAAGTGCGGGGAAATCATTCTGATGGACCAGGATACTAGTAAAAACCTATTTGGCCGGAGATACGCTTTAACCCATATGCCACTTAAGTGTTTATTCTGTAAGACAACAGAACAAGCAAACTACTTTTTGTCATCCTGAATAGGCCCTATATTATAGAGTGTACACCAACCCTGTACTGCATTGTTATACAGTATCATATATTTTATTTTTTTTATATTCACTACAAACAGTATTGCTAAGCAGAAAGGGCACTTCCTACTTAGTGTATGATGGGTAAATGATAATATTGAGCATATCTATGAGTTGTAATGAACTCTTCTATTTGCGTATCACTCCAGACTTTTCCTTGCTCATGGTGCCGAAGTGAACTTGAGGAATAAGGAGGGTGAAACGCCAGTGGAGTGCTGCAACCCCAGTTCTCAAGTCTGGGCAGCTTTAAAGAAGAGTAGTAGCACATCAGAGAGACCCAAGATAGAAGAGACCATGCTCAACCGGTACGTAGAAAGCATTTTCCATCTCTCATTATCATACAGTACAGGACACAGGCTGTCAGTCTTAATGAACGGGTTATATATTATTTATTTATTTATTCAGGTACTTATATAGTGCCGTTAATTCACGCAGCGCTTTACATATATATTGTACATTCACATCAGTCCCTAACCCTCAAGGGGTATACAATCTAAGGTCCCTAGCTTACATTCATACATTCACATACTAGGGACAATTTAGACAGGATCCAATTCGCCTACCAGCATGTCTTTGGAGTGTGGGAGGAAACCGGAGTACCTGGAGGAAACCCACGCAGGCACAGGAAGAACATGCAAACTCCAGGCAGGAGGTGCCGTGGCTGGGATTCGAACCAATGACCCTAGTGCTGCCAGGCGGAAGTGCTAACCATTTAGCCACTGTGCTGCCCATATATATGCTGCACCTTGAGATGACTGGACACTGGCAAAGCCACTCAAAGCTGTTAACGCTCTCATATAATCATATTACTCCTCCCACCATGTCACCATCCGTTTTTTTTTTGTTTTTTTTGCAAGATGTTATTTGTTAATAGGAACAGTAAATTCTATTCTGAAAACTAGTTATGAACTGCACCAAGCCACTGCGGAAGAGGGTGTCAGTGCCCCTAGCTTCAAAGGTGGGAGAGGTGCTGGTCTGTAATTATGCAACTGCAGTGGACCCGGCATACCGGCAACAGACCTGGGTACCTGATGCAGCACGTGTGTTGCCGCCAGATGCTCTGCAGGTCCAAGATAGAAGTCCACCTGACGGCTAACCCAGTACTCCATGTTTCTCCTCTCCCCGACTGAAGGGGGCAAAGTCAAATGGTACCACACAGTGAAGGCTTGTTCCTAGGGTTGCATCCAGTATAGGGAAGGTATAGGCACCTGTTAGTTAAACACAGTCCAGACAAGCCAGGGTTATTTTCTAGGCTTCCATGCACCTGGGTTTTATAGTGAGCAAACAGAGTAGCAGCCTCAGTCATAGGATGAAGAGCTCCTTGAGTGGCCATGTTGTTCTTACAGAGCTGATCTACCACGCATTCACAAGCACCATCTTCTTAATCTGGCCCCAAGCATGTGCTGGTGCCATCTTATCTGTTATAATGCAGGCATGCAGAGCAGAGTAAGTAACTGCAGGCACCATTCCCCAGAGCTGGTGGATAGACGGGCACAGTGACAGCGTTACAACAGGACATGTGGGGCAGACGACTCGACATCAGGCCTCCTCTAACCAACAAGACTAAAAGGTGGACTGTTGATTCCACCTGCATTTGGTTTGTACTTTTACAGGATGGGGCACTGTGCTAATTTCCTTCTGGTAGCCATGAGTACGCCACAAAGGATTAGCAACATGAAGGACTTTAAACACAAGGGGAAGATTATGAGCAATTTGACCAAGATACAGTTGTTCTGTCTCTGTCACTGTGTGGTTTCAGGCACGGGACATAGGTACAGAAATCTCTACCCCGATGAGACAATCAGGGTTCCCCTTATCCCCAGAATCTAGGATAATGTAATTTCATTGTTTCACTCTTTTTGTTTGAGCAAACAAGAGTTCTCCACCCAAATGTCCTCTGTTAGGATTTTCAAAAATTCTGCTACAAAGGCTAGGGCTTTGCAGCACTTTGGTTTCTGATCAACTTTCTGATGCAGTCTTGTGGTTGGATGTAGAAGAAGGCCATGTAAATAGGAGAGACTGTTCTTCTGATTCAGATGATTTATCTCTAGAAGTCCCTTCGGTCACAGTGGAGTTTATTTACTAAAACTGGAAAGTGCAAAATCTTGTGCAACTTTGCATAGAAAGCAATCAGCATCCAGGTTTTATTGCCAAAGCTTAATTGAACAAGCTGACTTTAGAAGCTGATTGACTATCATGCACAGCTGCACCAGACTCTCAGGGGTTTATTTACTAAAGCTGGAGAGTCCAAAATCAGACTCCCTTCTGCATAGAAACCAATCAGCTTCCAGGTTTCATTGCCAAAGCTTCATTGAACAACCTGAGGTTAGAAGCTGATTGGTTTCTATGCAGAAGGGAGTCTGATTTTGGACTCTCCAGCTTTAGTAAATAAACCCCTCAGTGTCGCGAAAATTGAAAGATACCTTTTGGTGGTTAGAGAGGCAGTGTGCAAGTGTTAGACTCTGCTGCACCCAGAAGTGACCAGCCTGGGTTCTAGAAAACAGGAAAACCTTCTAATGTATTTCAGGTTCCTGCCTGGTTTTCAAGTAAACGTTGTTTTGTATGAAGATTACACTCCTCCTAAGTTCTTTGCACAACAGTACCCTATAGACGAGGGTTGTTCCATGAAGCAGACCAAGCTACAGTGCAGCCAGAAATATTCACAGCGCTTAACTTTTGCCACATTTTGGTATGTAACATCCTTATTCCAAAATGGATTAAATTAATTTTTTTCCTCAACATTCTACAAACAATACCCCATAATGACAACGTGAAAGAAGTTCGTTTTGAAATCTTTGCAATTTATTAAAAATAAAAAACGAAAAAACCACATGTACACAAGTATTCACAGCCTTTGCTCAATACTTTGTTGAAGCACCTTTTAGCACCAGTTACAGCCTCAAGTCGTTTTGAGTATGATGCTACAAGCTTGGCACATCTATTTTTGGGTAATTTCTCCTATTCTTCTTTGCAATACCTCTCAAGCTCCATCAGGTTTGGATGGGGAGCGTCGGTGTACAGCCATTTTCAGATCTCTCCAGAGATGTTCAATCGGGTTCAAGTCTGGGCTTTGGCTGGGCTACTCCAGGACATTCACAGATTTGGCCCCTTAGCCACTCCTTTGTTATGTGGGCTGTGTGCTTATTATTATTATTATACAGTATTTATATAGCGCCAAAAGGTTTGCTCAGCGCTGTACATTATAGTGGGGGACAGTAGATGAGACAATACAGTAACAATACAATACAAGAGGGGTTCAAGGGCCCTGCTCCTTGGAGCTTTCAGACTTAGGGTAGTTGTCCTGTTAAAAGAAGAATCGTCGCCCCAGTCTAAGGTCCAAAGCACTCTGGAACAGGTTTTCATCAAGGATGTCTCTGTACATTGCTGCATTCATCTTTCCTTCGATCCTGACTAGTCTCCCAGTTGCTGCCACTGACAAACATCCCCACAGCATGATGCTGCCACCACCGTGCTTCACTGTAGGGATGGTGTTGGCCAGGTGGTGAGCAGTGCCTGGTTTCCTCCAGACAATTTTTGTTTCATCAGACCGAAGAGTTTTGTTTCTCATGGTCTGAGAGTCCCTCAGGTGCCTTTTGGCAAACTCCAGGTGGGCTGCCATTTGCCTTTTACTAAGGAGTGGCTTCCGTTTAGCCACTCTACCATACAGGCCTGATTGGTGAAGTGCTGCAGAGATGGTTGTTCTTCCGGAAGGTTCTCCTCTCTCCATAGAGAAACGCTGGAGCTCTTTCAGAGTGACCATCGCGTGCTTGGTTACCTACCTGGCTAAGGCCCTTCTCCCTCGATTGCTCATTTTGGCCAGATGGCCCACTCTAGGAAGGTTTCTGGTGGTTCCAAACTTCTTCCATTTATAGATGATGGAGGCCACTGTGCTCATTGGGACCTTCAATGCTTCAGAAATTTTTCTGTACCCTTCCCCAGATCTTTGGCTTGATACAATCCTGTCTCGGAGGTCTCTGGATAATTCCTTGGACTTCATGGCTTGGTTTGTGCTCTGACATGCATCGTTAACTGTGGGACCTTATATAGACAGGTTTATGACTTTCCTAATCATGTCCAGTCAACCACATTTCCCACAGGTTGACTCCAATCAAATTGTGGAAACATTTCAAGGATGATCAGTGGGAACAAGATGCACCAGAGCTCAATTCTGAGTGTCATGACAAAGGCTGTGAATACTTATGTGTATGTTCTTTGTTTTAGTTTTTTATTTTTAATAAATTGCAAAGATTTCAAAACAAACTTCTTTCACATTGTCCTTATGGGGTATTGTTTGTAGAATGTTGAGGAAAAAAATGAATTTGATCCATTATGGAATGAGGCTGTAACATAACAAAATGTGGCAAAAGTTAAGCTCTGTGAATTCTTTCTGGATGCACTGTATCTATCGCTTCTGTAAAACTCATGACTGTTCGCGTTCAGGGACTCTTTATAATGCTTTGAGGCCTTGCGCAAAGCTTCTCTTTCCATATCCAGACTGACGGTGTATGTCAGACATTTAGGGTATGGTCCAGGCAGCTAGTTAGGAACCCTAGGGTGTTTCCAGCAGCATTACGCTACTATATAGACTGAGTGATTCACTCTGTTGGTTATCTTGTATTGTACTTCTGTATGTGCAAAAATCATAGAATCAGCTAGCTAAAATGTTGGTCTGCTGAACCTGCCCATGAGAAAAGGGCCCTCGGCACAGAAGTAGTCATCCTTTAGTTGCCACAAGACATACAACGCGAAGGCAGGCAATTCCTTTCATAAATCTTGACCCTCCAGACCTGCCTCTCAAGTCACCTTCACAATGAAGGGGTTCCCCTCACTGATATTGTGTGGGGACATTTGCTGGCCGTTGCAAACATTGGTGCCAGGAGGGCTCAGACTCTTGGGTATAAGAGGTCGTATAATTCTATTGCAAACTGGAATTGCAGAGCTTTCCTCGGCTTCCTTTTTTGCTGTCAAATGTGCCTTTGTCTCCCCAGCACAGGGCAGTCTTAAAGAAAGCCATATCCCAACTTGAGGGTCAGGAAGTTCCCACAAGGAAAGGCCCACAAGGAAAATAGGTATTAGGGGTTTTACTCAAACTTCTTTATGGTTCACAGACTGAACAAGAACGTCAGGCCCTTTCACAGCTGCTCTTTGGCTGATGCAATTCTTCAATTGGTTTTGAGGATGACTACATACATATCCAAATCTACCCTTTGCAGTAGTGGAGAACAACTTCTTTCAGTTTGTGGTGCTCTCCTTTGTTCTAGCTACAGTATTTGCACTGGTGCTTGCTCTGTTACAATCCAAGGGTATTCACAACCTAGGATACCTGAACAATCTGCTTTTGTGGAGAAAGGTCAGCTCTTGCCTTAAAGAAACTTCATTGGAAGATTCAAGTAGTTCCAGAGCTTCAGTTGGATCCTTAACCTGCAGAAATAGGTTCTAGAACCACCCCATAGTCTGGAATACATGGAATTGGTACTGAATGTGATTCAGAACAGGGTGTCCCATCCGAAGAAAAAACGTGCCTCTCTACTTGGGCCCTTTGGTCCACTGCAAACACCTCCTTTGTTTCCACGAAGGTAATTGTGACCTTGTTCGAGGTGATCCCATATGTTTAGTAGCATTCCATACCGCTCTGCAGTACAGTATTCTGTCAGCCTGGAACAGGTCATCCCTTTTCCTGAACCATCTTTTGCACCTGTTATCCAGAGTCAGGAATTCTCTGATGTGGTGGATGTCAAGTCTCTCATTGGAATCCTTCCACTAAACCGCATAGTTTTAACCACAGATGCCAGCCTCTTAGACTGGGGATGAGTGCTAGGTACAGCCACGCATTAGGGACTCGACTTCCAATCAACGTCTTTGAGCTGAGAGCAATTTGTCTGTCCCTTCTATGGTGAAAAGACCTTTTCAAGAGTCTTCCAATCAGAATACACTCTTACAACTGTCTGTGGCTTACGTAAACCACCAAGGTGACACAAGAAGTTGTGCAGCTCAGGAGACGGCTATTATCTTACATGGAACAGAGACAAATATTCCAGTCATATCCGCTGTACACATTCCGGGGAGTGTAAAATCAGCAGGCGGGCTTTCTAATTTGACTGGAACTGATGCCGGGGGAATGTTCGCAATACTTGGAGTTGTTCAGAGAGATCTTTTGTCATTGGGGGACTGCAGACATGGACCTCTTGGTGTCCAGTTTTAACAGGAAACTGAACGTCTTTGTGTCTAGCGTTTGCAGTATATGTTCTGGTGTCTCCATGGGTTCAATTTTACCTGATTTGTGCAATCCCTCCACTTCAGTTACCATTGCTGTGTTGCACGATAGGAGAAAAGGGCTACAGTGGTATTAATGGCCTCAAATTGGCCAAGAAGGGCTTGTTTTTCAGAATTCTTTGCATGTTAGCCTCTTCTGGAGCATTCATGTTTTCTGTCTCAAGGTCTCATTTACCATTGTCTTGGAATCTGTGATTCCCATTTTTCTTTTAAGGCAGGAAAGGCTGCTCTCCTTAAGCTGTACGATCAAAAGGTCAGGTCCCAGCCTTGGCAATTTTGTACCATAGACTCTTAGCCTCTCAATCCTTGATGAAGGCCTTTGATGCTGTTGACACTGGGGGACCTTCGCTTAGTACAGTCAGTCCTCCAAAAGCTGGCAGATCTTACCCTTTAGGTGGCTATTACCTCAGCTAGGCCGCCCTGTCATGTAGGGAACACTTTTTGGTGTTACATAAGGATAAAGTGATGCTGCATCTGAATGTTTCTTTACTACCAAAGGTGGTGTCTGGCTTCCATTTAAATGAGGATATTGTTTTGCCCTTCTCCTAAAGACCCAAAAGGTTCAGCCCTTTGTTGTCAGGATGTGGTGCTGGCTGTGAAGGGTAACATTGAATCCACGGCCTCCATCAGAAAATCAGATTCGTTCTTTGTATTGCCACATGGGGCCAAAAAGGGTTCATCTGCATTGCAAGGTGGATTCGCCAGACCATTTCTCTGGCCTACTCTCTCAAGGTTAAGGAGCCTTCCTTCCAAGTTTAGGCTAATTCTACAAGATCTGTTGGTGTATCTTGGGTGTTTCAACATCAAGCTTCTGTTGCACAGCTTTGCAAGGCAGCTACCTGGTTTTCTGTGCATACTTTTGCTTTGTTTTACAGTGTAGATGTTCAGGCATTGGCTGCAAACTTTTTTGCATGTCACTGTTTGAACTCGGTTTGACCTTGCTTTAGGCCTTTGTTTTTTGAAAGACTGCTGGCTGAGCTTTTGCTACCTAAGTTATCCTCCCCTCATTACTGCTTTGGGATGGTCCCATCCAATATGGTTTGCAGCCTGTGTCTTGTGCTGTGCTCTAAGAAAAGGATTTTACAGGTACGTTAAAAAATCCTATTTTCTCGAAAGAGTTGTAAAGGTGAAAATAGAAACACAATAGTAAAGAGACTCTTATAAGAAAAGAGGTTTCATACCTGCAGCAATTTCAAAAACCCTGCCTTTATTGCCAAATTCCTGTTCATTCTCCTAAGCCAAGCGTCTGATCTCCCAGATACTGATAAAGCCTGCCCAACCTTTCCTTCCATCAGCACATTTTTATTTGGCAATGAGGCAGCCCATCTTAGTAATATTAGAATAGAAATGTATGCAGGAGGTATTTTTAACTCCACCCAAAAGTTGTTTTTTTTTTCCTTTGATGAACCAACTCTAACATTTTGGTTAAAGATAGGTTCTTTATCCATTACATACTTTTTACCATTTTCCAAAAAGGGAAACGGGAATTGAGATACGGGTTATGCTGCCACCTTCGGGAGGATAGAACACTGACAAATAGAAAAGCTGTAAGCCAGTCCCAAGTATAATCCCTTCCCTATCTAGCAACCGCAACTTTTTTGCTAGTGTCCAGGAGGATGGACATCTTTTCTCTGCTTCACTGAAAAAAGTCAACATATTTTTGCTAGCCTTTTATTTTCTTCAATCAAGACTCCTCTAAAAGCCAATTGAACTGGTCTCTTTATGCAGCTGTGTTTCTGTGATCTGTGTTTCCTCAGCAATTGGTTTGGAATCCTTTTAGGTAATTTTTTTATTTTTGTGCAGTAGCAAAAACAATAGGTGTGCTATTCCTTGAAATATGTTTATGTAACAACTCAAACACAAATCAAGTGAATAAATAAATTGTCATGTGCATCATGAATGTATTTAAATCCAGTGAACAGAATATAAACAATGAAAAGTGCAAGTTCCAGTCATAAAGTGAACTATATTTGGTATCCAAATCTTGTGAAAAGCCCAGTGTGCCCACAATAACACAGTAAGCTGGTGTGCCCTTCTCGGTGTTCACCTCAAAAGCTTCTTACCAGATGGTGTAGACCTCATAAAAAAGAGATCAATTGTGCCTGGATGTTGTACAACTATGATATCCACAGACTCTCCATGGTACTCCAGCGCTCCACAAAAATCAGAGTACATAAGGAATACACAAAGGCAAACCCCACAGTGTAGTAGTTTAAAAATGGAACCAGGTTTATTTTGAAAACCACTCACAAGAGAAATGAAAGACCAACAGTAACGGTAAACTGCTCTGGTGTGAGTTCTCTGGTGGGCGTCATGATGCCGCGTAGCAAGCCCTTCCCTTTTTGCAAGTGTATAAACAATTTAAACTCTTTTTTAACTGTGTATAAAACCTTTGCTTATTATTACAGGACAAATAGCTTACAGAGCTTTGTAGATTAGCCAATGAAAGGGCATATCTGACATACAAGCTTGCATTGTTACTTCCTTTGTCAGATTGGAACCTTGTATGAACTATTTGATAAGAATATCTTGCGTTTTTAGCCCAAGCCACAATAAAAGAAGAAAAAAAAATGTATAAACCAGTACACATTCCCTTTACAAGCTTTATACGTTTTTCTGCTGACACAGGTTTTTATGACAGAAGAGACCCTAGCGGTCTCATCTGTCATGAATGTCTCCCCTGCCTGTCAGCAGGAAATGTGATCTGAGCCACACATGCGCAGATCAGACCACATTTATTGCCCACTCTGTACAATGTGACTCCTCTGCACACCTGCGGGAGTGACGTCACCTTGGCCCTGACCATTGAAGCACCGACAGTGGGAAACCCAGAAGGAAGACCGGGCGAAGATGGAAACAGCCGGGGACCAGGAAGACCAGTGACAGCACAGCGCTGGAGGACTCCATATGCAGGTAAGTCTGTCATAATGTACTAGTATGCACTGCATATTAGTATCTTATGACAAACCTGCCGGGGGACACATTGCTTTTTTTTTTTTTTTTTTTTTAATTCTTAGGATTTACTACCGCTTTAAGTTTCTCTGTCAGTTTAATAAATAATGTACAGGTTTATCTTCAAGATACAACATTTGTCCATGTGTCCTACAAGCAGTGTGGGTTTTGCTGTTGTCCTCATACGTGTTGATGGAGTTATTGGGATCTGAGCAGTAAATTTAGCTGCTGTTTAATACACAACTCTGAGTTTGGGAAGCTCTGAACTATAGTAAATGTGTAATGTGTTTTTTTTTTTGAGTTTTTTTATTTAACTTTTTTAGGGATATTTCGAGGGGATACGAAAACATCCCAATACCATGTATTAATGGCGAAGACTCTGAACCTTGTCCCATCAATTACAAATATGTGTCGCAGAACTGTGTGACCTCCCCGCTGAACGTAGATCGAAACATAACCCATCTTCAGGTGAGTCTTCCAGTCTCTCCAATGTCTAAATAATGCATTATATTTCCTGCAATTGACACTAACTTAGAACTTTGCCTCTTGCAGTACTGTGTGTGTATAGATGACTGCTCATCTGGAAACTGCATGTGTAGCCAGCTCAGCATGCGGTGTTGGTATGATAAGGTAGGCTCAAAGCTTTGTATTAGAGAAAGGAAATGTAAAAGTGTTAAAAAAAAAAAAAAATTGGCTAGCTAAAATTACAGATACTCCTAATAATAAGTTGTCTTACTGTAAATGAGAAATTGATCCTTCTAACAGAGTGAAGTTGTCTTCATCTTTCAGAGTGGACGTCTTTTGCCGGAATTCAACATGGTGGAACCCCCACTTATATTCGAATGTAACCATGCTTGCTCTTGCTGGCGGAATTGTCGCAATCGTGTGGTACAGAATGGTTTGAAGTGAGTTATGCTTCAACACATATTAGTGCAGTTTTGTCCTGAGTTTAGTTATTTTAAAGTGTATGTAAACCCTAACAAACTTCTCTTATTTGCTCCCTTTTGATCTGCTAAATTCACATTTGAAAGCATTTTTATCTGTTCAGTAAATGCAACAAAATACCTGTTTATTTTGCAAGAAATCTTGTGAGCGGTTACCTTCCTGTGCTCTCTCTGCCTGTGCACAAGGGGGGGGGGGGGGAATGAGATGAGGAAATGAGGAGTGGTCTATAGTTTTTGTTCCTTGTTCTACATCACAAATGAAGTAGGCAGGCATGACATCAGCCTACTTGAGAATTCAGAGCCAAGTCATGGCAAACAAGGAAGATACTATACTTCTTGCACATTAACACTTTTCTCCTGCGTTCATTGAAGGACGCAGCCTGGTAGAATGTTGACTGTAGGGCTATAGCTTCACCTTCAGCAGTAGGAAACTAGGCAGAAAAAGTAAAGCACCACCCAGGGATGGCCTTTGCTGGAGGCCAAACCCTCCACCTGCTACAATCAGCCCGGTTTTTTGCCTAGTGTCTAGAGGTGAGGACCTAGCTCCCTGCTGGGAACTCCTAGTTCCTTCTTTTTTTTTTTTTTTGAGCAGAGATATGTAGTGGGTTTTTTTGTTTTTTTAAAAAGCTGGCCGAAACTGGATTTTGTCATACTTACCCCCATTGCTCTGATTTGGCTGCGACAGCCTCGTCTAGCTGAGGGTATCCCTGATCCTGGGGAACGCATATGACCAGATGTTTTTTCCGGGTCCCCCGCCAGCGACTGTTGGGTTCGTGGAATGGTAAGTACCTTTCTGATGTTGACAGACTCCATACCTCCAATCCAATGGAGATTTACTTATGGGAGCGATAACAAATCACCCTGATCTGGGGCTTAAACTTAAGGATCCCCTTTTGCGTGCCAATATTTTCTCCTGTCTCTTTGATAAGCCAATGATGGGGTCCAGACCCTTCATGGTGCCAAAACAGTTTTCTAGCTGAGGGACCCCTTCAGCAGTAAAACAAATCTTAACTCTAAGCACGTGCACATCACAATTACTTTGTGGATCTAGGGGCTGAGGTAAGCTTTATTTGGCGGGGGGATATCTACAGATTTTGGGGAACTGCACAATACCACAATGTGTGGTATGGTAGCAGTTGTTTTTACCCCCGCAGTATTGAATACCACATGTGTGTATGGTAGCAGTTGTTTTTTACCCGCAGTACAGCCCAGAAACCATAGTGCGCAATTTGCTTTTTTTTTTTTTTTTTTTACCTGCCACTGACTCATACTAAGTGAAAAAAAAAAAAAACTGACCCGGTCTTTGTATTTTTATTTTTTAAAACTTTTTTTTTTTTTCTCTGAAAGGACAGAAGTATCTATCGCCTCCAAAAAAGACCTAGATCAATCAGAGTCTAAGGATTTGATCTAGGTTCAGTGCCAGGGTTAGTGCTTTTGGGTCAGGTTTTTTTTTTTTTTTTGGGTCAGGTTTTTTTTTTTTTTTTTTTTTTTTTTTTTTTTTAATTGGTGTTAGTGTCAGTGTGTTTTAGGTAAAAAAACAAAACAAAATGCGCACTATTGTTTCTGGGCTGTACTACAGGTACAAACAACAAATAACCTACACACATATGGTATAGCTGCAATCGTCAAGAGCTGAAAATTTTTTTTGGGGTTGTTCTTTAGTGATAGGTTATGGTAGTAACAAGAAAAACACAGCTAAATTAAAAAAAAAAATATTTTTTTTTTGCTATTTTGGGCCAGTTTTCCTTTGATAATAAAAGAAAAAATTAGGAGATATCCATTCCTATTTACCACCAAATGAAAGCCCAATTTGTCCTGGAAAAAAAAGAAATGTATAATTCACCTGGATGTACAAAGTACCTGTAGTTGTGATGATATGTATGGTTTTACTAACACATGTCAACGTTGCAAAATTGTGCTTAGGCATTAAGATTAGTTTTACCCTTAGGCGTGAAGGGGTTAATGTCCTGGAGCTGCATGCGATCAGGTTCTGTCTTGCTCATTGGATGGAATTCCTTCAGGGACGCCCAGTCAGACCATGCCATGGTGGTGGCAAATGGAGTTTGGCGGCAGAACTAGAGGTTTTTCACATCCTCTGGTCGGCGGAGCTTCGCACTCCTTTACATTCTGGGAGTGGAAAACTGTCAGTTGGACTACCTCAGCTGTCAAAGTCTGGACCAAGATAGGGTGGGCCTTACATCCGAAGGTCTTCCAACAGATCTGCCTGAGATGGGGCACCCCCAGATGTGGACCTCCTGGCATCTTGTCTCAACAGGAAATTTGTGGCAAGAACAAGATTTTTGGGTGGATACTTTGGTAGCATCATGAAGCCACTACAGTCTCATCTATGCCTTTTCGCCTCTAAAGCTCCTTCCAAGGCTGTTATGAAGAATAGAGGCCAAAGGGATTCAATCATTCTTGTGGCTCCGGCAACCTGGTACGGTGACGTAGCGCATCTGATTGCGGACACTCCTTGACGTCTACCTCTTCAGATGGATCCTCTGCCCCAAGGGCCAGTCTTCCACCCTGCTTTTCCCTCACTGGCTTTGACGACCTGGCTGTTGAAAGCCAGATTCTGAAGAACAGAAGTTTATCAGTGTCTGTGTTGCCTACTATGCTGAAGGCGCATATAACCACTTCTCTGAGGATTTATCATCGGATCTGGAAGACTTACATTTTGTGGTGCATTCAAAACAGATCCATCTTTGTGCTTTTTCTTTAGCTAGGATCTTGGTCTTTCTCCAGCAGGGCATTGATCAGAAACATGCCTTGAGTTGCCCTTGTGGTCTTCTTTCAACACCATCTGGTTATTGTTTCCTTCATTCGTATCTTCGTTCAAGGGGTTTATCATGTAGCTCCTCCAATACATCCCCCTTTGCAGCCTTGGGACTTGAACTTGGTGCTCTCTGTTCTGCAGAAGCCTCATTTTGAAAACATGAATGATAATCCATTGGCGACTCTTTCTGAAAAAGTAATCTCTTTGGTTTCCATCTCTTCTGTGTGCAGAGTGTCGGAGCTGGCGGCCTTGTCTTGTAAGGCCCTGTACTTAGACTTGTACATGAATAAGATGGTTCTTCGTCCACCTCCCTTCGAAGGTAGTGTTCTCCTTTCATCTGTATTTCTGCCTCTGTTGCATCCCAAGGAGATTGCTTTTCATTCCTTTGATGTGGTTCGGATGGTGCATGTGTACCTGCTTTCTTCTGCAAGGCTGACTCTTTGTGGTGAAAATGTCTGTGAAAAGGTTTAGCAGCTTATTCTGGTACCATTTCATGATGGATTAGGCAGACGGTTGTTCAAGCCTTTGCCAATAGGGGTCAGACTCCTCCCCTCGCTGTTATGGCTCAATCCACTAGGGTGATTATTGCATACTGGGCTTTTCTGTATCAGTGTCTCAGGTTTGCAAGGTGGCTCCTTGGTCATCTGTCTATACGTTCGCCAAATTCTCCAAGGTGGATATGCATATTCTGGCATTTTCAGGTGCTTGTTTCGTTCACAAAGTATTGTAGGTGGCAGTTTGCTGTTTTAGCATCCCTTGGTAAGTCTTTTGAGTTGTTTTGTTCTGGGTACCCACCCCTCGATGGTCACTGCTTTGGAGTGTCCCAACGGTCAAGATTCTAACAGTCTGTGCCCTTCAGTGCACATAAAAGAAAATATATATTTTTTCTTCTCATTGTAAAATCCCTTTCTCTGAGTTCATTGAAGCACACAGCTCCTACCCCTCTGGTTTTTGGTTATGTACGACTTGGGGCTAACTGAGCTGCCTGTAACAGATTGGGGGTTTGACCTCCATCAGAGGCCATCCCTCAGCGGTGATTTTTTTTTTCGTTTTTTTTTCTCTGCCTAGTATCCTTCTTCTGAAGTTATAAAAAAAAATGAAATTGTGGAAACTGAAGTGCCACAGTACTGCTAAGAGGTCCAGATACAAAGTTATTCCAGTAAAAGTCAGGGTGAGTGAGTGGCTGAGTCAGGGAGGCGGGGGGATGGCATCACAATTTCAAACTCCGCTTATCAGTGGAAGCTTTGTAATCAGTAATCGAATACAAAGCTCCCTGAGTGCCGCTAAGCCCAACTTGATTTTATCCCAGGAGTGGGAAGGGAATTTCCCAGCCCACTGCCCAGAACACAGCGCTGTTCAGTGTATGTAGCTACAGTCCACAGTGCTGAGAGCTGCTGCATGTCTTGGTGAAGTAAATGGTTTTAGTGGACCATCTTGGTGCACATGAACTATTTAAAGCTTTACATAGTTTGTTTGGACCAGGCTGGCGCAAAGGAACTATGTCCCTCACTAACAGGTGAGGCCGCTGTATGTGCTGTATAAACTATTTGTTGCGGAGGCTATATACAGCACTGTGTTTCGGGTGCAAGCTGAGACCTTCCAGTCTCAGACCAGGAACAACGTAGAGTCTGTCAAAGCGGTGCTCAGCCACTCATAGAAGGCGATGTATTCTATCGATGAATGTCACAACCTCTGACTTAGAGGGAAGCTGCGCATTCATTGATACAATACACCACATTCTATGAGTGGCTGAGCGCTGCTCAGGCAGACTCTATTGTGTTCCAGGTCTGAGATGGGAAGGTCTCGGCTTACTCCTGGAACACAGTGGTGTATGTAGCCTCCACTATATACAGTTTATATAGCACATCCTTCGGCTTCACATGTCAGTGAAGGACATAGGCCAGCTTGGCTCAAACAAACTATGTAAAGTGTATCAAAAGATGGAGTCAGCTTTAAACTTCACTAAAAGCTGGAGATTCGCTTTAATAAAGTTAATACAAAAAAGTATGTAGAAGAGTAATGACAGAAAGAGATTGTGTTCCCTCAAGTGCCCCTCCACCAATCCACCCCGCCTTTTTCTTTTCATAACATCTTTTTATCTGAGCATAGACCTATGTTTATCCTGAGCAGGGGGTACCACTGCTGACCTTGTTCTGAAAATGTTTCCTACCTGGCTTTATTTGTCTTTACAAAACAAGCGTTCAACACCAGTGCCAGAAATTGTGAAATCTAAACTTATTCTGGGTTGGTGCCTCAAAAGACTTTCACGCTAGACCATTAGCATAATATTCAGGCGATAGCATTTTCAGAAGGAGAAGTCAGAAGTGGCTTCTTACATATTTCTCACTTGCCCTCCTAGCTTCACTGTTGAATACTAACAGGTGGCAAAGTCACAGGCTCAGCTTGCTATCTTTTAGCATGCAGATTTTTTTTAAATTCAGATAATTTTTATTTATAGCAAAATTTTGTTTTCCATACTAATGCATACATTATATTATACCCATTTTTCCCATTACCCCCTCCCCCCAAGCAAAAAAAAAAACCACAAACTTTAAGACACTAATCTCCAAACACAAGACATTTATTTCCATATTAACATTAAACCCAAAGAAACAGACATCATCATACTATCCTTTATCAGGGTACCAGTCTAGGGACATCCGCCCATGGTTTCCACATCTTTTCAAATTTACCCACACATCCCCTTCTCGCATAGGTATGTTTTCCCCTTATCAACATACACTATATTTGCCAAAAGTATTTGGATGCCCCTCAAAATCATTGGATTCAGGTGTTCCAATCACCTCCATGGCCACAGGGTGTATGAAATCAAGCACCTAGGCATGCAGTCTGTTTCTACAAACATTTGTGAAAGAATGGGTGGCTCTCAGGAGCTCACTGAATTCAAGCGTGGTACCTTGATAGGTTACCACCTGTGCAATAAGTCCATCTGTAACATTTCCTTGCTACTAATTATTCCACAGTCATCGCTTAGTGGTATTATAACAAAGTGGATGTAACTGGGAGCTACAGCAACTCCGCCATGAAGTGGTAAATGACAGAGCGGGGTCAATGCATGCTGAAGTGCGCAGAAGTCACCAACTGTCTGCAGAGTCAATAGCTAAAGACCTCCAAAGTTTGTGTGACCTTCACATTAGTACACCAACAGTGCGTAGATTAGCACAACAACAGTGCCTAGAGAGATTCATGGAATAAGAGTTTCCATGGCCAAGTAGCTGCATCCAAGCCTTACATCACCAAGTGCAATGCAAAGCGTTGGATGCAGTGCTGTAAAGGACTCCACCACTGGACTTTAGAACAGTGGAGACGTGTTCTCTGGAGAGACTAATCACGCTTCTCTTTCTGGCAATCCGATGGTCATGTCTGGGTTTGGCAGTTGCCAGGAGAACGCTACTTGCCTGACTGCATTGTGCCAAGTGTAACGTTTGGAGGGGGATTATGGTGTGGGGTTGTTTTTCAGGGGTTGGGCTTGGCCCCTTAGTTCCAGTGAAGGGAACTCTTAAGGCGTCAGCATACCAAGACATTTTGGACAATTTCATGCTCCCAACTTTGTGGGAACAGTTTGGGGATGACCCCTTCCTGTTGCAACATGACTGCACACCAGTGCACAAAACAAGGTCCATAATAACATGGATGAGTGGGTTTGGGGTGGAGGAACTTGACTGGCCTGCACAGAGGCCTGACCTCAACCCGACAGAACTCCTTTGGGATGAATTAGAGCGGAGACTGCAAGCCAGGCCTTCTTGTCCGACATCAGTGCCTGATCTCACAAATGTGCTTCTGGAAGAATGGTCAAACATTCCCATAGACACACTCCTAAACCTTGTGGACGGCCTTCCCAGAAGAGTTGAAGCTGTTATAGTTGCAAAGGGTGGGCCAACTCAATATTGAACTCCACGACTAAGACTGGGATGCCATTAAAGTTCATGTGAGTGTAAAGGCAGGCGTCCCAATACTTTTGGCAATATAGTGTATTATTGACCACTTTTAACCAGTCTGCGTGAGAGGGGAGGCAAGGGGCCATCCATTTTTCAGCAATTTAGCTTTCTGGCTTGATAAAGACACCTCAAAATTACTAATTGAGTCAAAAAAAGGCCCACTTGACCCTCCATACAACCCAATACACAGTGTTTCGGTTCTGCCATTAACTCTGATTACCAGACTTATTGTACCCAGCACTTTCTTCCAATACCTATACAATTTAGGACACCTCCAGATGGATCCCCCACACCTTGGGCAAGATGCATCTGGACATCTCCCAAACAAAATGAGCCTCTGTAGTGTATAATAAGCCCTATGTATTATGACAATCTGTCTCGTGTTTGTGATGGGGACACATTTACTCTCTCTGCTAATTCCAGAATATAATTCCACTGCTCATCTGTCAGTTCACCCACAACTTCTACCCATTTTGTTCTACATGGAAGAATAACCTCTCCCTCTAATGCTACTAAATTAAATTGGCATAGTGTCTCAATATTAACCCTTTTATGGCATTCGCTCTCACCAAGGTTCCCAAAAGAGGGGCCTTACTCCACTCCTGTCATCCTGATTTAAACTGAACCATTAATGCATACCTTAGCTGCAGGTATTCGTAAAAACATTTGTTCGGAAGGCCAAACTCATCTCTTAACTCCTGAAAAGTTTTCATTATTCCAGAAGAATATATTTGCGAACGTCTTACAATTCCTCTTTGCTTCCATTTATTAAAACTCTCTAGCCTCTCCAGTTCTAATAGATTTTCATTGTCCCAAATCGACTCGTACTCTGTAAACCCTGAATAGTGAAACATAGAGCGTACTATCCGACACAACTTTTAATAATAAATAAATTGCAGGGAACTGTGACTCCGACCTCCATGATCCTGCCTGTAATGTTTCAACTAACATAGAATGTGGTGTACAGGTCAGCAATACTCGCCCACTATACCATGCAGAACCCTCACCAAATCGCAGCCCTGTAAGTGATGCAACTGGGACGCTACAAAGTAACTCCACGGATGTGGCAAAACCATTCCTCCCCTATCTTTTGATAGCTGCAACACCCAGAGATGTATCCTAGCCTGTCTCCACTTGCACACCAAATCCCTAAACAGCGTATCTATCTTCCTAAACCAGACCTCACTAACCCAAATCGGTGAATCATGTAAGACATAGAGAAGTTGGGGTATCCACACCATCTTGATTAGTTTACATCCACCCACCACTGACAAAGGGAGACGACACCACGTCTTACATTTATCCCTAAATGTTGTCAATAAGGGCACTAAATTATCTAAAATATAAGATTTAGTGTTTTCTTATGTATACCCCTAAATATTTAAACTTTTCTACCACGTTTATATGCTTAGCACTATTCGCAATGCCCCAGAAAGGATCCACTTAAAGCAGGGTAGATTTTCGAAGTTGCTAGATAGACTCAATCACTGAAGTTAACAATTGATCTGTGTCCCCAAAAATAAAAGGATATGATCCGCATATAGCGCAATGTTTTTCCTCAAAAACTCCTACCAGAAAACCCTTTATTATCCCTCAATGCTCTAATAGGTATAGCCAATGGATCCATGGCCAGGGCAAAGAGCAGGGGTGACAAAGGGCAATCCTAGCATGCAATATTTTTAAGAAAACATGGAAAGTCTCAAACCAAAGAGTTGTACTGTTTTGTTCTATTCTCATTCCTCTCTCTCTCTCTTGATATTGTGAAAACAAATGATAAAAATGGTAAAATGCCAAAATTTCTGTTCAAAGTGCACTTTATTTATTTCCTTATATGCCATGGGAGCATATGTAGGGTGCCAGTTACTGATCTATCCTAAAAAAGCTTGTTTCCTTCCTGGCAGGCTGAAACTTTGCCTTTGTTACATTGAGTCACTGATCCGAAACAAGTATGCTTATAAGTACTGTATCTGACTTTTCTGATCTACATACACGTGACTGTTAAGTTTACATCAAATGGCAAATCTAACAACCAGGGAACTGGCATTTTGAGAAGGTTAGCAGCCCCTATATTGCCTTTATAGCTAGAATTGGGAACTGTTCCAAGTAAGGGTTTTTAAAGGTGCTTCCCAACAGGGGTTGGGAATAGGATTCAATGATTGTTTCACTGGAGCTCCCTTCTACACACTGCAGTTTGACATCTCTGCCTTCACAGTGAAGTGGGTCAGCCTTTTGCTGTTTTAGTTTCATTCAACATGTAAACATTGAATTTAATCTCTTGGTCTTGTTCATGCAGAATCAGATTACAGCTTTTCCGGACCAAGAACAAAGGCTGGGGAGTGCGGTCTCTACAGGACATTCCCGCAGGGACGTTTGTGTGCGAGTAAGTGAGCCATCTGCAGCATACCCTGCCCTTCAGTCAAACAAACTTACACCATTGCCCATTTACTGTTCCTGTCTTTATATGCACACACTACATCCAGTTGTTCTTCCAATTGAAACACAATCGGAGAGTCTCTTGTAACTGGTGGACATTGTATTTATAAAAAGTAGAATGTAATGTGAGCTGTAAAGGGAACAAAATCTTTCCCCATGCTGGAAAATATCTTTTGTAAAATGTTTCAGTTTTTCTATAGCGCTGCAATAGGTGCCCTGCATGACACCACTTAGTGTGACATTGCCATTTTCCACCATTTGCAACATCAGCTAATAGAGGCATTTGGCGCTTGCCAAGTCTGACCGTCAAGTATGCAAGACAGGTGACTCTGCTGAGGTCTTCCTAATATTTCATCCTGATACTGTCCACAAGGTGGGGACTGGAGAATATGCAGCGCCCACGGTGCCTCAAGTCAGGATTTTCTGCCCTGTTTAAGCACTGAAGGAATCTTTCTAAGTAGCACAGGGGGGGAAGTCAATAAAAACATGCAAGTCGCTTATGATCTAATGTCTCAGTACACAAATTATATATTCTATAATAGATTGCGGTCACTAACTAAAGCCTGATGGATAAAAGCTCATGGCATAGAAATTGATGGTGTTGTACTGTTTATAATTTTAAAAGATGAAAAACTGCTCATGTTCCTTCTTTAGCAGTTACAAGCCTCCTTTCCTCATCCACTGCCTAATTTACACTATCTGTTGCCTTTTAATTGTAAATGTTTCACATTTCATATTAAGCAAATTGTACATCATTTGCAGGAGCACTCCCTGATCTCCAATCATATATTCATATAACAAATGTCATGCCAATATAGTAAATTAAATTTCAAATTTTTGCAACTTCTATACAGTCTTCAGTTTGGTGCCAGTTGTTTCAAAGAATGCTTGTGTTATGACAGATGCTGATAAATCCACAGTAGGTTCCATCTGATTCATACGAATGGCTTATAACTTGCCTACAATTTTCCCCAGTAGCCCTGAGATGTCCTATGGAGAGTTTGACTTTCCATCCTACCGTAAAATGAAGGTACCTTCTGAATTGGTATCCCAGAAACCTGCATCTGTTGTAGGATGCACTTTTTTTTTCTGAAAACCCTGAAATGGCTTTTAGAAAGACTTTTGAAATATCATAAACACATTTTGACATTCAGAACTATAGACATATGAAATGTATAATCTTTTTTCATTATTTAATATATTATTTTTTTAAGTTGAAAAAAGAGACACCTGTGCAAATGAGTTCAACCAAAAAACAATGATAATAAATTAAAAACTTGCATTCTCATAACCCTAAACCTGCGTTTGATCCAGATAGAGAAAACAAACCTTAAAAAAAAGCACATGGACCAAGTATTCCAGCAGAAAACAAAGTTAGATATGAATTTTTAAAATTCAAACTGAATGGCACCTTGTTGCATGATGCATGTCATACCGCTACACATGTAAATCAGGCCTTACTGTAAAGAACCCTTTCCATATGGTAGTCTTCTCCAGCTGTATTACTGTGGAAGCAAACCTCTCCCAACTGCACAAAAGTTTACTTTGGAATAAGCACATAGCAAAAAGTATCAGTGTTAAACAGATATAAGCATTTTTGTTTTCAGGTATGTTGGGGAACTGATTTCAGACACTGAAGCAGACGTGCGTGAAGATGACACCTTCCTGTTTGATTTGGACAACAAAGTAAGCATGTCATTTTTCCGTAAATACACATGACCTCTGAAAATCAAATAAATGTAGTCAACTGTGTATCCCTGCGTAGTACACTTGTATTGTCTGAGAAACAATTTGGAGAGCATAAAAAAAACCATTTCTGCATTCATGCAGTTCAAGTCACTCTACTAGAGAACAGAGGCAGAGGATAATTTGTCTTATTAACACAGCGCAGATAAAAACAGAAAATTCAAATGCTGAAGATAGAATCCTGAATGACGACAAGCATTTCAGGAGGAGAAAAAGAATGGAAACAAGACAAGTAAAAAAAAAAAAAGAGATGAAAGTAAAAAGAGATTGAAAGTCCTGCTTATTATATTGTGTACTCTGATAGTGAGCAGGATGTTTAATAGCTCTGCTTGTTAGAAATTAGTCTGGTAGGGAACATGAGAACTTACTTTCTAATAGAGAACAGGAGGTAGAAAGGTCCTGCTTATAATACAATCTAATTTTGACAAAGCGACATAAGCCTTGCCTACTGTACAATTTAATCCAAACCAGGAGGTATGAGGGTTTGGCTCACTATACATTCTAAACCAGACCAGGAATTATAAGGGTCTTGTTTGTCATACACTCTAATAAGGATCAAGAGGTATGAGGACCATTCTCATTTATATAGTCTAATTGCGACCAGAAGGTATGAGGTTTCTGGTTCATTATACATTCTAATAGGGGGAGGTTTTGGGACCCTGCTACTTAAGCATTCTAATAGAAATCAGGGGGTTTGAGTCTCTAGCTTGTTATGCAATATAATGCAGATACAGAGGTTTGAGGGACCTGCTCATTATGCAATCTAATGTGGATCAGTAGGATTGAGGGTCCAGATTGTTATACAATCTAATTTAAACAAGAAGGTATGATGATCCTGATTCATTATACATTCCTATTGGAATTAGTAGGTTTGAGGGTCCTGATTGTTATGCATTCTAAAGAAATCAGGAGGTTTTAGGGTTCTACTCATGCATTCTAAAAGATATCAGAAGGTTTTGTTCCTTATGAAATCTAATATGGAGCAGGAGGTATGAGGGTCCTGCTTGTTATATAATCTAAAATGGTATTGGAATTATTAGGGTCATTCTTTTTATACAGCAAGTTGGGATTAGGAGGTTTCTAATCGGAAACAGAAGGTATAAAGGTCCTGTTTATTACACAATCTATTCAGGAACAGTAGGCATTAGAGCCCTGCTTGCTATAGCTTAAATGTTAATAGTACATAGGTAGCAACACAAAAGGCATATGCTGTCTCGATTAACACCCTCCTGACTAAGCAGTGTCATTAATCAGCCAGTCTTGGCAACAGTTAGGCCCCATTCCAATCTGCAGTTTTAGGATCTCGGGCAGAATCCTAGCAATCCCAAACCTAAACTTGTTGGAGTTCTGCTGCAATTGTTGTTTCGATAAATCATGCTGCAATTGCAGCAAACCACATTGCACGACACTTGTCACCCAAAAGAATCTTTCTTTTGCCATATGTGAAATGGGCCTTATTGTAAGTAGATGGCTAGAAACATCCTTGTTTGTAGAGTTTGTGTTTGCGCAATGCCTCCGATTGTCCTGTCATTAGACATCCCAGGAAAGTAAAATGAGCCAATCAAAATGGTTCTGTACCATGTGATCACTGTGAACCAATCACAGCAGGGGCGGACTGACCATTTGGAAAATCGGGCACTGCCCGAAGGCCGGGGTCAGTAGGGGGGCGCCATGAGATACCCCTGGTACCTTTCTCATAGGCTTTTTTGAGTTTGGGCAAGGACACAGGGGCCCCATGATCCCCTATTGCCCTGGGGCCCCATGAGTTCAGTCTGCCTCTGAATCACAGCGATTACAAGTGTAAGTGCTGGCTGTGTTCACATACAGCTAGCCACTCCCCCCCCCCCCCCACCCTTTCTGTCATAATGGCAGAGGGGTGAAAGGGGGATTACAGTATAGTGACTAAATTGTGGTACAGTGATCAAACACAAGAGAAGGCAGGACATAAGCCCCCATGGCACATGCACTGGTGGTGTCTTGAGATCAGTATATCATGATCTATGTCCTTTCTCTGCTGGAAATTTTACCTTGTCTGCTTCAAAGGCTCATCGTCAAGAACTTTCCAGTCATAGCTCCAGATTAACCTTGTGGTATGTTGACCTTGTTCTTTTGTTAGATGACACTCAGTGGCCTCTATCACATCAGCTGGATTTCTCCTCTCAAGGACCAATATTCCATCCAGCTTCTTGGTAGTTGGCCTTGACAGCCTGGCTGTTGAAACCCAGGTTCTGAGAGACATGGGCATTTTGCATTCAGTAATCCTGACCATGCTAAAAGCTTGTAAATCTACTTTCTGTGAGATCTATTATTGAGTACGGAAGTCTTATTTTCACCAGTGTAAGTCTCTGGGGGATTTTCTTACTTGTCTTTTGGTGGGCTGTATTCATTCTTCCCTCCAGCCGTGGATACTCACCTCCTCTGTGCGGTGGTGTTGCACAGAGCGACCCTGTGGTTCTGCAGCTTCAAGATCCACTGTTTTTAACTGGATTCAACAAGTTTCATTGGCAAGAAAAAGGGCCCCCATTTACCATTAAATCTCATTCCACTTGGGCATTGAGTGTTTCTTGGGGATTTCATCAGCAAGCCTTGGTGTTACAGATTTGTAATTCTGCGACCTGGTCTTCTGTACATACTTTCACTAACTTTTACCAGCAGATGCTAGTTTTGGTTAAAAAATTTTGCAAGCGGCTGTTTAATGTCATTGGTTGTTTTTTTTTTGTTTTGTTTTGATGTTTCCTGTTGGCCGGATTCACATGTGGTGTTTTGCTTGCCTTCGCCCATCAGTTTAAACTGCTTTTGGATGTTCTAGGGTATCTCGCTATCAAACTGTGTCTGTCAATGAATGATAGAGAAAATAGGATTTGTATACTCACCATTAAATCATTGAATTCCATTGAGGGACACAGCTCCCTCCCACAGCTGGGCAGGATTGGTGTGGGGAGAGATTATAGCTTTTCGGGCCTGGCTTTTAGTTTATGTACCTGTTTCTCCTGTAGGTAGCAGTATAATAACCCTTGGTTTTTTACTATTAAGCTCTGCCCCTCAATGGACTCTGAGATTTAGGGCTCGTTCACACTTGACTTTATTTCTAACTCTTGCCAAATGCCCCTATAGCCCCTGGCGTTTGTGAAGCGTTTTTAATGCTCCGCAAACGCTTCCAAAACGCCCTATGTGCAGTTTTGAGGCGGTTAATAGGCGTTTGCCGAGCGTTAAAACCGCACCACAAACTCCTATAATGAAGTTTAAATGGTATTAACGCTCCACAACCGCACCGCAAACACTGGCCAGGCGTTTGTGGAGCGGCACCATAGACTTGAATGGGAGGCTTCAAACTCCTCCTGACTCGAGCAGAGGCGTAAGTTTTCCTGCAACATGACGCTAACACTTCAGTGTGAACAGCACTGTGTGCAACCATGTGCAGAATTTTCAGAGGCGTTTGAGAAGCATTAAAAACGCTTCCCAAATGTCTGTCTGACGCCTGCTAACAAGGCTAGTGTGAACATATCCTTACAGTGACTACAATTATCCTTTTTTTTTTTTTTTTTTTTAAACTGCAGTAAAGTTTCCAGAATGGATTAAAAGAACACCCTGTAATTGTAAGTGAAATTTCACTGTTCCCTGTTGCGAGAGGCACTGAGCCTGTCTGCGAGTGCTGGAGACTGGCTAGGAATTCTGTGCTCTCCGCTTTCTACACCTGACCGCTTTCCAGCAACTGCTTTAATCGAGCGGCACTGGCATCGGTCATCCATTAAAGATCATTATAAACGTGCCCAGAAGGCAGCTCCGGCTCCTTTAATGCATCTTTCCGCTCGCGGCCCCGACAGGGCTGAAATTAGCAGTGATAATTAAAGTTGGCTTGTAGAGTTGAAGAAAGGAGGCCCCCTCTCCTTTCCTCCCTCTCTGTTCTCCCTATTCCCCGGGATATGAGGAAAAAATACAGCTCCTCCTCACAGTGCTGGCCTCATTCTTGTCTACATTTTACTCCAGGTTCTTTCTATTCTGTGATGTATTTCTAAAGAAAAATCTACATTTTGGCCTTGGGAAGATTTTGCGTGATTGTCGAATCTGGAGTTATCGACGTATTGTTTGTTACACAGATTTATTCAGTTTTTTTATATGGTCTTACAGAGTTGGTTAAAATTATTTGATAATTTTAGCAGTATATTTGACACATTTTCAGGTGTATTAAAGGAAACCAGTGTCAAGAGAAAGCAAGCTTCTTTTATTCACTTCATCTTTTGAAAATGTTAAAGTGGTTGTAAAGGCTAAAGGTTTGTTACCTTCATGCAGTCTATACAGCAGCAGCTCCCTCAATACTTACCTGAGCCTCATCACGATCCAGTGATGTGAATGACAGCCTTGGCTGTCCCAAGTCTCTGCCTCCTCATTGGCTGAGACAGCAATGGGAGCCAATGTGCGTGTCAGTGTGTCAGTTATTCTGAACCTGAATTTTTACTGGTCTTATTTATTTATTTCAGGTACTTCTATAGCGCCGTCCATTTACGCAGCGCTTTACACATATATATATTGTACATTCACATCAGTCCCTAACCCTCAAGGGGTGTACAATCTAAGGTCCCTAACTCACATTCATACATACATATAATAGGGACAATTTAGACAGGAGCCAATTAACCTACCAGCATGTCTTTGGAGTATGGGAGGAAACCGGAGTACCCGGAGGTAAACCCACGCAGGCACAGGGAGAACATGCAAACTCCAGGCAGGTGATGCTGTGGTTGGGATTCGAACCAACAGCCCTAGTATTGCCAGGCAGATGTGTCTTATATTTATATCCGTTCCATCCAAAGAAGTCAAAAATAATTTGCTCATCTCTTATTTTATCAGTGTTTTCCTCAGCATTACAGTATAAATCTTCACGGATATCGGGGTGTTAAAAGTGAATCATTCAGACCTGGCGTCTGGCATTAGCAAAGCATTCTGGGTTAAGAGCAGCAGCCAGCGTTACCAGCACCACTAAAGTAATTTAAGGCCATGTGATTTCCAGCACTGCTCCTTCCTGTTACTGATAATGTGATTAATGTTGTAAGGCCTGTAAAGAAACTTTCTACCACTTGCACTCTCAAGCCCATTCCTGGAGTGGTACACAACTTGCAAGGGATGTAGAGAAAGGAAATAAACAGCTTCCAAGGATGGGGAGATCTTTTAATAAGAACAGTAGGCTCTGTTTGAATTGAAACTGCTAAAATATGAGCTTTATTTCAGAAGTTTTGGGGTATTCTCATACCTTGAAGGGTGAATGTACAGGGGCAATTGAGTTCAATTAAAGTCATTCTGTGGCTGGTGTGTGCTTTGTCTGGCAGATGTGTCAAACTGCTTTCAAGTTCTCTGTTACATCAACCCTAAATTTCATATACATGTGAAAGAATGTAAAATGTTACTACCTGTGTGCGGCTAAAGCCGCCTCCACAGCTTGTTATGGATGTCAGTGGTGGGGGCAGACACAGTATATCTCCCACTGATTAGGAATATGACAACTTTCACTGCTGACATGATTTTTATGGGTCCAGGCTCAAGAGCTGTCTTCCCCAGTCTGACTTCACTACATGCTTCACTGACTTGACTGACTGAAAGCTGGTTGCAGGTCAGGGGCTTGCTTGGTATTGTAGCAAAGAGTAGGATGACAGGTCCAGGGGCTGCACATAAAAAAAAAAAATCTCCTTATGGCCATACTTTCCGGTTCTTTGTAGTGTGGGACAGGCACAAAGTAATTCTATGTGTCTGGTTTTAGGAGCAACTTTGACTCTATAGTCCCAAGGTCCCTTTTTCACATTTACTGCCTGTAACTTAAGCTGGGTACACACAATTTGAAATTTGGCGTGTTCACTAGGAACTGGCTGAGTTTTGATCTGTGTGTAGCCCTTCCTGTTAGACAGAAGTCGATTGGCTTCTGTCAAACAGGACTGCTGGAAAACCCCCTTTGATCAGCAGCTTTCAGCCAATCGGCTGCAGCACTGATCAGTGTATTGTGACAGCAGAGAGTCCCCACTGTCAGAATACAATATCCTGGCGGAGAGACTCCTGCATCATGGATGCACGATTGTTATTTTTTTTCGCATTCAGCCTGCTGGCTGAATGAAAAAAAAGTGTGTTCCCAGCTTTAGTTGCACCCTAACATGATTTTAACTTTCTGTCACTGACAGTTCAGCTCACAGTACCTCTGGAGAATCAATGAATGCAGGGTAATGTTTTTTTTTTTTTTTTACTAAGCCCTGCCCACTTATTACCATAGTAATGTTTTTATCTAAAGGAAATGTATGACAGGAAGCAGAGGTAAAATCCCATAGATATCTGCTGGCCATGTACTCAGATACCTAAACTCCATATCCCTTCAAGAACATTTTCTTCAGTGCTAGAAACACAAGACAGTCAGAAGTGGTCTTGGATTTTGTTATCGATAGAATTGGGCAGAATCTCTTGCTTACTAAATGTGGCCTTACACTTGGAATTCTTATTTGATTAATATTTTATTACAGGACGGTGAGGTTTACTGTATCGATGCTCGATTTTATGGAAACATCAGTCGCTTCATCAACCATCTCTGTGAGCCCAACCTTCTTCCTGTCCGTGTGTTTATGTCCCACCAAGACCTGCGTTTCCCGCGGATCGCCTTCTTCAGCAGCCGACAGATCTGTTTTGGAGAGGAGATTGGGTGAGAAACTTGCGAGATGTGGCCTCATAGATTCAAGCTTCTCATATACTGCCTGGGAAGGCAACATATTTGACTCTACTCAAGTGGGGCTATTTATCTTGCAAAGAGATGGATGCTGGTTGATCCTGTTGCACCTAACTCTCCCAAAAATTAAAGTTCTCACACTGCCATGGCAACCAGCAGACACAAGTAAAGTAGAGTCTGTAGAAAAAGCTGGCCATACACTGTTAGACATATAGAATCTCAATAGAAGAAATTCAATAGAATTTCTGCTTCCAGCTACTCTATTCATACAGCTGCAATACCCACAGCTGACAGAATGCCGAAACAGTAACTGCATCTGATAGAATGCCATCACTGTTGGCCGAGATATTTCAACCCAACTCACTCTGTTCCTAAATAGAATAATGTTGAGCCGTGTAGTACGGACAGGGCCACCTCACGACTTGAAACTCAACAGGAATCAGACAAAATTCAAGATGTGTATGGCTGTCTTAAGCCTGAAATGAAACTTCTAGTGTGTAATAAAACTTTCATGAATGCAAGAACCAAATACTTCATCTACATTCCCCCTGGCCTGTTCCTTACTAGCATTTTGTTTACTCACTCTTCTGTTATTTCCTCCTACCTTATCTAGCAGTGCTTCTTTTGGTGATTAAAAATGGCAGCAATGACTACTTGTCTGTTCTCTAGCCAGACTTATCCTTATTTCCTGTCCTACATTGGCTACATTGGTTGTTGGGAGACAAAAAAAGGGAAAATCTCTGCATCCAAGACACAAACAGCAAAAAAAAAAATCAGGAACTCTTGATTGAAAACTAGAGAATAAAGGTTTTGTCATGGTATTCCACTTTTTCATAATAGTAAAGAAAAGCCAAGGTAATGGAGTGCATTATACTCTGTCCTTGTCATCAGGGATCTCTGGGTGTAAAGTTCATGAGCTGATTTGCTTCCTATCCTTGCAAAACCCTCTGTAAGCATCCAGAATTAGGTATTAACCCCATGCCAGCCTTACTCTCATCCTGTAGTTTTTAATTTCATTCATTAAAAACTCCTTAGCCATTGGCTTTTTTTTTTTTTTTTTTTAATTGACTAACAATTCGCTAATGTGGATCTCTTACCACACTAAATTGTTCAGCATGCTACCATGCCAATCCTCTGGCACACAGGAAGAAAAATGTAATTATAAATCCAAAAGTGTCTTGCCACTAGTGACTACATGAAACATCCAAGCTTTTATTAAATATCATTAAAACAGAGAAGGCTTTGGCAACAGTATTAAATACACTGGGATACAGTTAGATGGCAACGTTACGAATGTTACAATCCTTCCTCAAACCAGGAGCTCAAATTCAAAAGTTCCTTGTACTGACTTACTTTTCTGTTCTCAAATCCAAGGCAGCAGAATAGTGTACAAGGCTTATCTGCTTTACCGGATAATTCACTTTATACCTGCTAGCAACTTTTTTTTTTCTGAGTGGGCAAAGCTCCAACACTTCAGGTGGTGATGGAGCTTGCCCACCTCCTCCTGCCTTAGATACATTCCTATTGGTCACAAGGCATCCCCACAAGTGATGAACTAATAGGAATGTTAAGCTAGGAGAGAGTAGGCTTGTTTCCTCTTGGCCATAGCAGATCTACTGAAGGTGTGTTTACATTTAGCTGCCTGAAGCTTATGCTTTATTTGTTTGGGGGGGGGGGGGGGGGTTTAAATGGTCTATGCCACGGGTGTCAGACTGGCGGCCCTCGAGCTGTTGCCAAACTACAAGTCCCATGAAGCATTGCAAGATTGACAGTTACAAGCTGCTCTATACTGTTTTCAGTAAAAAAAATAATTATTTAGTTAGAGCTTGCACTGAAAAATTAGTAAAATAAATATGTGCGAGACTGATTCACCTCACATAAAAAATTAAGACGAAAAAACTCTTGAACTTTTGCTGACTTTTTTTTTTTTTTTGCTCCCCTTTCTGCAGGTTTGATTATGGTGAACGTTTCTGGGACATTAAAGGCAAACTTTTCAGCTGTCGCTGTGGCTCTCCCAAATGCAAACACTCTGTGCTGAAAACTGCCCCACCATGCCAGCCTGACACCCCAGCTGAAGCACCACAAGAAAACGGGCTGCCTGACACCAGTTCCTCTGGCCTGCTCAGCCAGTCTTGAGAAGACTTTGGACCTATTCCTTTTTTTTATTTTACTTTTTTGCCAAGTTTAATATAGCGCTAAAAATCTGGATCCTGAGTTTGACAGGCAAGGGTTATTTAAAGTGTATGTCTGCCTAAAATTATTTTTGTTAATAGGGTGGATAAAGGTTAGAACACCTCTTGGGTTTTTATTGCTGTGGCTTTGTTGCACAGGACACCAGATAGCAGTTAAACACTACAGAGGTTATAGCCTTTCCCTGCTTTATCCAAATGGGGTGGGGGAGTTTTAGCTGGACCTACACTTTAAATCATCTGCTCTTTTGTAAGGGGGACTTAACAACACTAACAGAGACACTTCCTAGACTCCATTATATCTTTTCTGAGTCAAAACCATTGCAAATTGTGGTGAATCTCTCTCCTGCCTCAGAGACCCAGAGCACAGCTTTGGAAGTAAAGGAGTGAACAGGCAAAAGTATTTCTGCCCCTCCAGGGGAGCAACTGTATTAACTCGCTCTGTCACTCACGCACAGTTCACACAGACAGTTTTTGCATTTAATGTTCCCTGTGTTCAGAGTGTCCAGCCACAAAGCGGAGACTGACCAGTAAGAGACATTTTACATCACAGGCAGCTCTACTGTTAGTCTGACAGTAAATTCCTTTATAGATAAGTATACCTGGGTAGCACAAGGGAACACTTGGCTTGTTCCAGATCAAAAGTGAGCTGAATGGCTCAATGTACACAGGGGCTTCTTTGCATGCTTGGGGCATTACTACCTAAAGCATGTGATGGGATTTGACTCAGCATCTCCCTCCTCCTTTGGAGAGCAACAACATCACAGCTGCATCTGGAGATCTGCAGGTTATGTGTACCTAGCATAAGAGGTGTCCAAATAATCCATCTAGCTGGTGTCTTAGTGTAGATAGGTCGAGAAAAGTCTTTTCTTGACTTTCATTCATTTGGAATTGTTAAATATTTATTTAATTTTTAGTTCATAGATGCCCTGTAGCTTTTAGCAGCCCAGGTACAGTGAAATCTTGCAACACCACCAAAGTCATAAAACAAGAAGCCAAATTAAGTGGGTAATAAGGCAATTCATTTCAAATAAAAAGCTTGGGTTAATTTGTTTACTCCTATTTTTGGAAGTGGAAAACCTCTTCATAGCACCAGTATCTTTTGGCACCTTGAAGAGGTCTCTATGGACTGCTGGTCATATCATTTTGCATGATGTCATTTCAAGTTTGCATCAAAATGCTAAATTTAGATGCCAAATCAGCATCCTGATACCCTGGTGTCAAGAATTGGCAGGTGCTTTGGGGATGGATGGGTTTAACTTCAAAGACTTCTCCATTCTGTCCAAAGATTTTTTGACTGGAGTTGGGTTTAACGTACATTGTCAGCAACCCCCAGGAGTTCCTCAGCAAAGCTGGCAATAGGAGCGGTAGGTTATCTTGTTAAGAGGACAGCATGATTGCTCTTTCAGGCCTAAAGCCCTTTATTACTGAATGGTAACCAGGTATAGGCGAAACTGTGATGCAAGTGGTAGATTTGCTGCAAAGTAGGCAGACAGTGATGATGATTGTGTTTTATGAAGCTGGCCTCTTTGTCAAATACCCTGTTCACCTCACGACCAGTGAGATGGTACCTGGGTGAGCGAGCATGGATCAGTGGCAAAGTAAATGCACACAGTTGCCTTTTATGTACTTAGATGACCACCAATAAAATGCCACTTTTGGCTTTGGTATGGAACTTTGGGACCTGCCATATGGGTTAGTCCAATTACGGTTTCCTTGGCCTCATGTACCTACAATGTCTTGCTGAGGATAGGCTGCTCCATCTGGTTGTTAGTCAGCAAGGCCCTTGATAACCAGCCTGAATTCATAAACTAGTAGCATTAGCAGATAAATAACCCCTTCCGCCCTAAATTAAACAATGTTCACTTAACTGCAAATTATTATCTACAGCTATATCAAACATTCAACAACCTCTTTAAAAAATATTTGTAAATTTCACAGGAAAAGCAACAGCTGAACATTCATTTAAAGAAACTAAAAAAGGACTTTAAGAATAGTTAGGGACACCTGTAATTAAAGCATCTTCACACATAGTTGTCTGTGCAGATATTTATTTTTGTCTCTTAATGGTCTCCTCGTGAACACTTTGGTCGGTCACACCATACACTCTTTCAGTAGGGTGTACCAATATCATGAATTGAGTTTTTCTCTTTTTTTTTTACGTAAACCACTTATGTGCAAAAAGTTGACTTTTGAGGCCACCCTGCCAAGCTGGAACTTAACAATTGCAGTTTCCATGGACCTGCCGCTGCCCGTCGGCTGGAAAAAGACTTCTACCATTGGCCAACGGGACATGTGTTTTCAATGTTATCCATAGATGAATTCCTACAGAATCTTTTTACAGCAAAATGTTTTGACAGTAACAGAGGAAAATAAAAAAAGGTGCTGAAACAACTGATTTATATACTGGACAGATTATTGTACCATAAAATATCTGATTTTAGGTTGAACTACCAGAAGAAAAAACTTTTTTTTTTTTTTTTTTTAAAGAAAGACAAATTGTTAGTACTATAGTGTGAATATTTTTTTTTTTTCTTTTTGTATTTTATTTGTTTTATTTCCTCGTTTTCGTTTTCCGGTTATTTTAAAAATAAAAAAGGCTGCCATTTTTCCAGTGGATTTTAATTTGTCATTTTTTTTTTATTTGTCTTTGGTGCAGCCACTGTTGTGGTCTATTTTACTGTTTGTCTTTTTTTTCCCCTCCACCTTCTATTCTTCCTTCCCCCAAAGCCCTTGGACCATTGCTAGTCTTCACCCTTGATTTCCTATTTTTGTTTTTGGTAAAACAATAAAAAAATGCTTTGAACCTTTTGTGTTGCTGTTATCTCTTGTTGAAAGGGGATGTGTTACTTCTCACCCTACTAATGCGGCTTTGAAGGCAGCCTCACCATACATATACTGTATATGGTACAAAAGAGTAGAGCCTTACTATCCACATCTGATAAAATTATCAAGATTTTTAGAGGTATGTGGAAGCCTGTCAGCCAGTTCTGTGCTCACGAAACAGCTGCTGCACATCCAATGAAGTGATACTTAACCAGTTCAACTATGCAGCTTCCTGTGTCACCTTTCTATCTCCAATATGCTTATTGGACCACGAATCAACCTAAGAAGTCTAGAAGCATGAAGGTAATCCATGATGTATAGTAATCTTCTGGCCTTGCATTGTGGCAGTGGTGTGCGATGCACAAAACTAGCTGAACAAAATACCATTTAGTATTGCTTGGTGCACAATAAGCAGATACTGAACGTGTTTGTATTCAGGGTCTAACAAATGTAAAGTGGATCTAACATCAGATAACTTCATGTTGCTAAACCCAGGACCATGTACAGGTACTCCTCGCTTAACGACCGAGTTCCGTTTCAACGACTTGGTCGTTAAGCGAATTGGTCGTTAAGTGAGGAACTGCATGTACTGTATACAGTAGTACAATATATGCATAGTATTTGACAATACAGTATTCTGAATAAGTAAAATAACAAGAAAGATCAAACTGAAAACTTCCACTTGTTTTAATTTGCATAGGTTGTGTAATTTACACACAGTACTGCACTGTATTACAGTGCAGCAGTACAATACAGTATATGCATAGTATTTGACAATACAGTACAGTATTCTGAATAAGTAAAATAACAAGAAAGATCAAACTGAAAACTTCCACTTGTCTTAATTTGCATAGGTTGTGTAATTTACACACAGTACTGGAATGTTGTATTACAGAACATAAAGTTAGCAAAGTACAGTAGGTACATTAAAGCACCAAAAACCACAGTACTGTATTGTAGAGTGTACAAGAAGGAAAAAGGATATTTAAAATACAGTAAACAAAAAAAAAACAAACAAAAAAAAATAAATTCAGGCTATCATTTTAGTCAACGAATCCTTCAAAATCTTCATCTGTGTCATCATCAGAGCTATTATCAGGAGCTGCTGAAGGCCCAGGTAAGGGACACGATGGAGTAGAAATTGAAGCATTGGTAGTGCTTGGTGTAACTTTCCAAAAGTATCCACTTAGAGTGGTCTGCTTTGTCATTTTCTTTTTTTCTTCATATATTTCACGATAGCACTGTAAAACTTGACTTATTTGTCTTTCCACCTTTGTGAATCCTTCAACATTCGGATCCATACTCTCTAGTTGGAACATAGCTGCATTCACTTTTGAGAACACACCAGCTAATCCCTTCACAGTAAACTTCTTTGGTACTTCTTCCATGTTTTCATTTTCTTCTTCCTCCTCCGCCAGGTTCTGCTGTGCTTCCAACTCTATTAAATCTTCGGTAGTTAGCTCTCCCTCCCTGTATTGCACTAATTCCTCAATATCTTCCACCTCAACTTCTAAATTAAGCACTTTAGCAAGTTCCATAGTTGTTTTATTTATGGCATCAACATGTTCATCTTTCTCAAAAACTGCAACATTGTTCACAAAACATTTTAGGCATTTTTTCCATATGCCTTGCATACACTTTTCTGTCACTCCCTTCCAAGCGGATTCAATGTTGTTTATGCAGTCTAAAATGTTGTAAGATCTCCAGAAATCACGGAGAGTTACTTCATCATTTTCTGTTGCTGCTACAGCTTTGGAAAAAGTTGTGCGTAAATAGTATGCTTTAAATGTGGCTATGGCCCCCTGGTCCATTGGCTGAAGGATTGAAGTTGTAAAGATAGTATATCTACCTAAAAACACATCTGGGTTTAGGTCATCAAGATACTGGGGATGGCCTGGAGCATTATCAAGCAGGAGGATAATTTTAAAAGGAATGCCCTTTTCTTGACAATAATGCTTCACTGAGGGTATGAAGCAGTGGATGAACCAATCCTCAAATAAAGCTTGAGTCATCCATGCCTTGTTATTTGCTCGGTAGTAAACAGGCAGTGTGTTCTTTCTAACTCTGCTCAATGCACGTGGGTTTTCAGAGCGATAGATAAGCAAAGGCTTCAACTTAAAC